CCATCTGGCATAAGAACATGGTAAGTTTGCGGGTCTCAGCTCCTGGAGGTCTGACCGCGTGGGAGTGTTGTAAAGCTAAGTTTGTTTTGGTCAGTCCTCTGAGCGAACTGGTTTCGGTGCCATGCCGTGCAGATTGCCCGGAATCTCCAGTCTGCTGCGTTATTAGTCTTTGTGTATTATCTCATTTTTGTAATAGAACGACATCCTAAGGTTGCTTGCACTACGTCCTCACGCAACAGCACTGTTACCTTTACAACACATGTGCAAATGTGTTAAGGTTTCTTTTGAGGAATTGATAATTATTTCTGCGTATATGCAAGTGGTAAACGCTGTCTACGTCGCTTTGTTGAGGAACAAAAGATGGGCACCAGACCTGACATAATGTGATATCAACGCATATGCATTATTAAATAAGCAAGCTTAAGAGGCTCTGAGAGCAACAGAATCAGGGATGCGGAGCGAAACTGAACGAACGGTGGGCGCGTCGAGACTCCCCAATCGTTGAGAATCGCAGTTTCCTAGCCATTCACATATAAAACTTGTATTGTGCTGTACCTATACCTGATCGTGTCTCTGCAAACATTGCAAGGCGTTGGGTGACTAACGCACGACGGTAAGAAGCTATGTCTGCATCTGCGCCGTTAACTTCCTTGAGCCTTGAGCGTACATGAAGCAACAGCAAATGTTATACAATCCAATACAACATTATTCATACAATACTTGGGATGCCTTTTCCCTTTTTCCAGCTCGCTACTTGATTAGCTTGGCTTTTCGGTAGACGTACAATTTTTGCAACACCTATAGAGTGCTATGATGAGCGCAAAGCTGGCGAAACATCCTGCATGGAATGGGACAGATGATGTAAGCTACCTCTGCTGGGCTTCTAAAATGTATGCTAGTATGCCCTTTGCACTTCGGTGCACCAATAGGCACGAATATAGCAGGTATAGCCTCTGCGCACATACCGGGCACCTTCCCAAGGCGATCTCCTGCTGCGTCAAAGGCGCTTTTTTGCCGCCTCCCTTTTGCGCAAGTCCCCTCTTCTTTGGTCAGTTGCAGATCCTGGCACACGACCATCACTCCCGTCCCTTATTTGTCACGTTGTCGACCGGTGACACACCCTTTCCCTTGTTTCGTTTCCATGCTTTCTCGCATCCTGTTTTGCAACAGCAAATCAAATGACCCCTGAATTTCCTCACAGCGATTCTGTAGAAAAAGGATTGGAAACCGGGCTCTATGGGTACCCACATTACGTAGTCTGCACTGTTTCTTGCGGATCCCGGCTTTCAGGTCAGGTGCTGGCTTTGGACCTGACACTCCATTTTCCATTCTCACCCTTCAGGGGTCTCCATCTGTCTTCGTGTGTCGTACACGGTCGTTTTATTTGCGGAACGCCTACTGTGTGGGTGGTTGATCGAGGATGGACGTTTTCGATTCCTCCTCACGAAATGGAAGAAGGTCGTGCGATAAGAATAAGCCGAGTTTGGCTTTTTGCAAAATCGACGACAGTCGGTCCGTGGCGTGCTAAGACTTAACGACTTAACTCATCACACAGCTAGGACTGGTCCATGTATCAAATCCGATGAATACACCAAAATTGATCTTTAAAGGTTTGAAAAATGAAAACCGCCCACGCATCTCGCACTACTCAATATAAAAGCCTAATGTTTGTGGCTCGAGCAAGTGGAGCAAGTATCTCGGCGACATTCAAACCAATTTTCTCATGATACTTCCTGGAAGAGCTAAAATCAGTAGTTGGAAGTATTGTCCGTAAAAAAATAGGAAGGGACCGTAAGGAAGAGGTCATCGTCACAGGACTCGCCCGCAGCTGTAGCTGCTCCTGTAGCGGCTAGCTGCTGCTGCTCGCCACGCGTGATGAGCTAATTCCAAGCGAATGACCCCGGCTGGAGCTGCGCCCTGGTAGGGTGAAGGATGCGTGCATCACACTGCATCGAGTAATGGGTCGGACTTTGTCCATAATTATATGTCCTTAGAGTTCTCCTCCTCAGCTGGATTTCCCTGCTTGTTGAATCGACAGTTACTGCGTAGTCAGACTCGACTTGTAATAGTATATGTTGATTTCCATTTATTGATTGTGGCATTTCCGAAGGAATGCTGTAGGTCATATGTTTGCTGCAGATGCAGGGTTGCTTTTGCAATGCGGTACCGCGATCTGTCCCCCGCCGTATTGAACGTAGGCATGTTGTTTCCAAATCGTTTATTACACGAACTTCAGCGGGCCAAAGCCTTCAGCTGACTCAGCTTCGGATCGCGAAAGAGTGGAAGTCCTGTCCTGTCTTTTGCTGACGACGCAGCTGGCTCAGGGATGTTGCAGCATAATTTCGTTTTCTGGTCTGGTGGACACTACGTAGCATTAAAGCATTAATTCGCGACGTCCTGTGGTCCACATAAGCTTGACCGATAGGACACGTCTCATTGCATGCATTGCATTTATGTTATACGCCGTGTCCTGCAATCGGCACGTAGTGCCAAGGCAGGCGATTATTGGGGAATCCTTGGACCAGCAGTTTGCCGCCAGCGGATGGCTTGTTGACATAGCTAGCCATGCCTTGGCGGTAACTTCTATTGCGCACCCAATGCGCTCCTTGGATGGCAGCCAATAAATTTGCACAGATATATATGTATCGCACAGGTATTCACATCGCCGTTACATCGGGTGGATGCACCGGACATCGCAGAACGACAGCAGCGGAAACGGCCAGCAAGGACATCCATTTCACCGGGGGTTCTCTGCGTATATCCCTGTTTTTTATCCCGATGATTTATCGTCTGAAGGACTAATTAAAGCGTTAATTTCGCATTTTTTGAAGGAAAGCTAAATAAAACTGGTGTACGGAGCTGTACGGCTCGATCATGGCCAACCAGTCAGTTGAGCTAACGGCCGTTACTCGCTTTTTACGCATTATTTATATATCTGGGCCCATGTTGTTATCGAGGGGACAGTAACGTGTTGCAGCTATTGACATTTTCACAAGTCTTGCTTGGGCGTATAGTTGTTGGATGTTGTTGGGATACTCAACGTGTGCGTACCTTATATACCTCTGGAATAGGGCCAATCATAATGCCAACAAGAGCCAGTACGGATTAAGATCGTCCGGGCGTATTTTATTTATCTCAATCATGCAGAGACATTGCCGCTGCAAGCCAACTAGCCAGGGTGTGCAGTGCGCACTGTGCAACACGGAGCGGAACTAACCGACAACGGCAACCGATAAATTCCTCCACCAAAGTCAGGAAATGCAAAGATCCTTATGAATCTTTAATGTAAAATCATGATTTGATAAGTTACAAGATAGGACTTTAATGGCATTTGTCGTCATCAAACATGCTAATCACAGGCCATACGTTGTTGTCGCTCAAATCAACGCACATCCATGTACGAAATAATCATAAGTGGTATATGACGCGTGATTTTGCATCCATGTAGTCCATGATGGGCTATTTGCAGCTAACCGATTACCTTCTATCAAAACTGCCTGGGGTTCGCCAACCGCCAGCAGCTCCAGTACAGCAACTTCTGAACTACGTCCTTGAAGAAAATTCACCGTAATTCTATTTGTTTCAAAATATTAAAATTGAAGGGTAAGAAGGAAGACGTGATTCACGATGTTTGGGCCTGAATAAGCGTGCAACTTTACGCGTAACATGATTTTCAAGCCATAAGATTATGCGCTGTCAGTATTGCAAAAGGTGTAGTGCATCTGATGGACATGCTGTGGCGGGCTCGTGCGGCGGGCTTCCGGACAGCCGCTACGGGCGAGTTCATGGCTGCTACGCAGATGCCCGCGTGGTCTTTCTTATCGTACTACCAGAAAATAATGACGTTTTGCGCATCGTTGGGCAATCACACACCATGAAGGGGATAGCGGGATCCCCATCACTTGTGCTATGCTTTGCCCTTTAGTTTAGACGGATTCAGGCAATTGCCTGTGACCTCTTATTCACACAAACATTTGGTCTTAGTTGTTTGATTGAACTTAGAGCTTCAGGGCTCCATGAAACAATCGCGTCGACGGGGTGCGGCCACAATGGGGGCCGCACTCTACCTACCTGCGTTTGTAATACTTGCCATCGCCTGCGTAGCTCAAGCTCAGAACGACTTCTTACCTCTTCGGAGTAATCCATGGGTGCCTTTAAGGTAAGTGTACCACCAGCGTTGTCAATTGAAATGACAAGCCATAGGTCGGCCGGTATGCAATGCGATAGATTCAGGCCACAATGTGTTAAATGTTCCTTAAAATATGCATTTATGTTTAACTCGGGGTTGACAGTGCTTGGAGTAAAGTCACGGCTCCGGCCTGTTGCTTGCACCTCGCTTGCAACTGCTATAGCCATTATCAAAAGCCAGCGACGTAGTAGCTTTCTTCACTTTTCATTTATTTGTGCTGGTTTTCTAAGCCAGTGAGGAAAGTCGATGTCGCGTTGCAACCCGATACCAACGCATTTGGCGCTCTCCACTCCTCATAAATTCAACATATGTGTAGCCGATGTAGTTCTAACACACAACAATTTAATCTAATGGGAGGGATTGCGTCCTTTGGTGTTGGCATCATATCTACCCCATGGCTCCGGCGCAGCCCGTAGCTACAATTCTTGGGCTGTGGTCATTTTCATATCCATATTTTGTCATGTAGACGGCTGTATTTCGCCGTGAACGACTCCTGGAGCTGTGCGTGTCACGGCTTGCGATTGGCCGGCCATTCGTCAGCGATGGAAAGGCCCCATTCCCGCTCATTCGCTTATTCGCCACGTCATTCACTGGAGGCACCTGAGGCATGATGAAGGGGTTCGTGACGCAAGTCGCACGCTTCATCGCCCTCGGCATCGAAACACCCGGCTCCGAGCGAGGCGAGGGGATTTAAAACTGAGCATACCTGCTCATACATAGCAAAACCAATTCAGCTCTGAAACCCGCACGGCCCTGGTGGCCAACCCCCTACAGCTCCCCGATGCCGTCCTCCAGTAAAAAAAGTCATCCCGTTATACCCACAACCCCACGTAACACCTCACTTTGCAAAATGCAACATTGTGTCCATACACGTGGCTGCTGCTAAAATGTACACTGACGCGTTACCAGCCGCCTTAGGTCAGGGTGTATGTGTGTGTGTGTTTGTGTGTGCCTGTGTTTGTCTGCGTGTGTAAGTGTATGTATGTGCGTATGTGTATGTGCGTGTATGTACGTGTATGTACGTGTATGCATGTGTATGTACGTGTATGTATGTGTGTGTATGTGTGTTTATGTGTGTTTATGTGTGTTTATGTGTGTTTATGTGTGTTTATGTGTTTGTATGTGTGTATGCATGTGTATGCATGTGTTTGTATGTGTGTATGTATGTGTTTGTATGTGTGTATGTATGTGTATGTATGTACCTATGTATGTATGTGTTTCCGTCACACATCAGTCCGGGCCTGGCGCTGGCCAGTTCACCCAACCGTACCCCATGCACGTGCTATCATGGTGCTCAGGCTTTTAACGGCGCATCAACTCTTCACCCAGGTTAAATCCAGGATGCATTCGTCTAGATTCCCAGTCGCTAGGCTGTACCCTTCACGGAAGGAAAACGTCACAAAAACTTATCGGGATGATCACGGTGTTCGCGATATTAGGGAATGTTTCTTTTTCAGGAAAGAGATTTTCTGAAATACTTCCGCTTGAAATACTCCACTCGAGCCCCACAGGCACCGCACAATAGTGGGTGTCGATGTACGACATGCTTGTCGTTGCTATCCAGTTGTGCTAATCTGTTCGCTGGCTGCGCCAACGCCCACATTGCCCACTTATTGCAGAACCCCCCAGGATATTAAGAACCAAGCCAACAGTGGCTCGCAAAACCCTTCTGAAGCCGTCTATATACCAGCCGAGCCAGGCGACCCGGTTGCGGCTGCAACGCCGGCTGGTACTGATGAATTAGGGCGGCGGCTGCTGGTGGTGCGCTTCAACGAAAGTGAGTGATAGAAAGAGGGTAGTGCTTGAGGAAAGGGCCAACTGGATCTTGGCTGGATCTTGACTCTTAACTAACTCTACAAGATCACCGCGTAGTTGTTGGGGAAAGGTTGCTAACTGCCATGAAACGGAAACAAAAGGGACGGGCAAGTGGAAGAGGCCTTCACGCGGTAATAAGATCTCGCCAAGGGTTCTTGACAGGCGCCAAATCCAATGCCGTACGTACGCCCCATTGGTGGTCTTAGAATCGTGTCAATCCTAAAATATACACGGTACGGCCCATCATACTCCCGCATTGACACACTTTCACTCACTGTACTCTTTTCAAATTCTTCTCTTATAACTGATGCCATCCGATGGTGGGTGCAATGCAGACAATCCCTGGGTGATGCGAGACGCTCTCGTTGCGGCGGGCGTGAGCATTGTGGAGCTGATCAATGCGTACACGGCCCTGGTGTTCGGCCGCCCCTCCGTTGTGTTCGGCACTGTAGACCAAGCGGGGCAAAAGATGGTGGGTGCAACCCCTTATTGTGAAATATTGACCCTCGGCTTCTGTCGGCCATCATACTGGAAATTCCTTGAAAAAATGCAAAGAAACATCGAACGAAACTTGCTTTCGCCAGAACGCCAGAACGCATAGCGTGTGGGTTTTCTCATAAATGTATTTATAGCAATAGGTCAGCACATGTGCGTAGCTAGGCCACATGTGTGTAGCTAGGCCACGATGTAATCCGAGGCTATAACTGTCACTATCACTGAGGTATGATGAAGTGGTTAAGGGAGACTAAAGTTGACGGATCGGGGGGCAAAAAGAGATGCTGCAAGTTCGCGGTGCCTTTGATGGAAAATCATTCATGGTTCATGGTTGACATTCGGAGTAGGTGTGCGGGAGTGGCAGGGCATGCGTGAGGTGGGCTGGGCGTGAGGTGGGCCGGGCGTGAGGTGGGCTGGTGGAAGAGTGGCTGGGCGGTGGTAGGCGTAAGGGCGTGGTTTTAACCTTTCAAATGATGATGAGTTATCCCATGGATATAATATAAGTATGGGTTGTATAAAATGAGCTGGGCCGTACAAAGCATGACACCATTTACGTCTAGTGCCGAAGAGGGCGTAATTTGTGCCGGGTTATGAAGTCCGCGATGCGTTGCTGAAACGTTATCCACCTTGGTGCCCTCGTAGGCTGTGTACAAATCTGACTTCAAGGTCACTCCAGAAACGGCCGCGCTTGTGGCGGAAGTCGCACCCTTGCTAGGTTCGCGGCGATCGCTCCTGGCATCCGGGCGAAATTTGGATTCAGATTTGGATTTGGATTCGCTACACGCCCATGAACCCGCTTATTCCAGCGCTTTCGACGCCGTACAGACCTGGGAAACGAATTCGGACGACATGCCATCCTCGTTTTCCCACGAACGTAACGGTGGTGAGGAGATGAGGCGGCGTAGCCTCGGGGCGAACAGAGTCCCCAGGAACCACACCAGGAGCAAGCGTTGGGAGAAACTGTACGGCATTTCCGCACGGATGGTTCTGGGGCTGCAACCCAGTGTGCTGCAAGTCATCATGACGGAGTGGCCTGGTAAGCTCGCGTGGTCTCTGGGCCGGAGTCCAGACCCCGCGGACGCCGATCCCTGCATGCCTATCTTCGTGGACGAGGCGCTGTACTCGACGACGAGTCCGGAGCTGCAAATCTATGTGTGCAAGGAGGTGCGCACTGTGATATACGTGAAGTGCTGTGACGGGTCAGAGGGGCTAAGCGGGAAGATTGTGTGAACAATGGGAGGAGTGCCTTCAGCCAACGTCTGCATTTTCCGAGGTTTGCTGATCGATCCCGGTATGCATCAGGAGCCTAAGTAGGATTGGTCAGTACGTACTTGTGCCGTTTTGTCTGTGCCTGGGCCCTCATCTATATGGCAGGATTACCCCTTCGCCGTAGACTGGCTCGCAAGCATGCACGTGACGACCTTGATAGAGCCTCTGCTGTCGGCGGCGCCGGCCAATGCCATTTCAGGTTGGATTATGCAAACAGGTACGTACAAATATGCGACACCTGTGGTATGCCCATGTACGAACATATCCCCAGTACGAACATACGCATGGCGTGGGGCCGGAAATGTTAATGGTGTCAAGGACAGGATCCGTGCTGTGGCACAAGCATGAGGGGACCTCATGCCACCAGACCTGTCCTGTCAGGTCTTCGGCACGACAGCCACCTGCCAAAGACCGGGTGTGGCATTAGAGGGTAGCAAGACGTTGTTTCATTTCTTGCTCGCATGCACCTGGCTGCCGGTTGATTGACATACAAACGTACATGCAAAACCTAAAACGGCTCGGGCGATCTTGCAGGTCTTGCTATCTTGGCAGCTGCCCCCGGCTCATGTAGAAGACAACCTCTGGGCCTCACCACTCTGGGCCTGTTCACTCTGCTCTGCCAAACCTGCCCCTCCCCAACCATCTGCTGCCTGTACAGGCAACCTGACGTCGGCACAGTACACGAACCCAACTGGCAGCTTGAGGCCTTACTGGAGGGCTAACCTTTGGGGGCAGGGCATGGTCGTCGGGGTAAGTTCGAAGCAGAAGTTGGTGTTCAGTTGCAAATCCTCATTTGTGGCGTTGTTGAATGCATGATGCATGCGTCCGGCATAGACGAGCCGTTGGCAGTTATTCTTGGCAGGGCCGAGGGCGGTTACGACCGTTAGTGGAGGGCTGAGATCCCCCCCCCGGTGCCTCTTTGGTCCCAGGTTGGCGAACTAGCAGCAGATAGATCATGAAGTTTGCTAATCTGTGGTAGCAAACCCTGTCCATATGCTTGTCTGCGATCAACTACATCCAGGTAGATGCGCAAACCCCGTATGCGCAATTCTGCATCAGTAAGGTTACATCGCTTTGGATGTCTTTGAAATGATGTGCACACCTATCACTCGTCCGGAACAGGTGACGGATCAGGGCCTGGACATGTCCCACTGCTCCTTCGTCGACAACAATTATCGTCCAGGCAGCCTTCGCTCCATGTTCGTGGGCAATCCGCCTCGCCTGTACCTGCCGAACCACCGAAAGGTCGTACAGTACGTCACCCCGGAAACAACTGGTGCGTGAGTATGTGTGTGTGTGTGTGTTTCATGGTTGGGGGTGCGTGACCCCATACCTCTAAAACTACCATACGAGCCGAAGGCCCAAGGGCAATATCTATATGCATAAAAGCCACGGAGAACAGGAAACACCGCACATCAGCCCAGACTAGCGTCCAAAGGCAGTAACTGAGTTTCGGTGAGCTTACATACGTTCCAACATCCTCGCCAGACGTACTGGTTCCCATTTCATGGCCTCCAACATGCTCTGTATGTGTGTGTGTGCTTACATGTGACAAGCCGTCAAGCCCCTAAACGGTTAAGATAATAAACAGCTACCCGCAAAAGGTAGTGCCGTATTCTTTTCGCACAAAATGTACTGTACATTTTTAAGCGCACCCAATCTTTTGTCGATGTCACACCATTGCACTCTGAGTCCTATTAAGCCCATCATGCCAAGACGCTCCTTAGCTTGCGGAGGAAACATCGAGTTACTTGTTGCCATGCCTAATAACACAAGTTTAGCTGCCATGGCCAGAGGTAAGGTTATGAGCTATTACCGCCCCTTTTGCTGCTGCTTGCAGCTTTTGCTACCGCTACTGCTGCGTACGTATGTTATAAATGCGTACTGCTACGAAAATGCTGATCCGTACACGAGTACTTAGTGTAATTTAACCTTGTCCCAACAGGTACTCGCTGGTTTGGAGGCGAGGATCAGAGTCACGGGACTCACGTTGTCGGAACCATCGCCGGTGCCGTACTGAACAGTACTGGTGGCATCTCGTTCGACGGTGCTACGGGTTCTGCACCAATGGCACGCGTCAGTTTCTTTGGGACATCTGCACCGTCGGAAAACAAGTTCAGGGTGCCATCGCCGCTGGATGATAAGGTTCTCTCGGTAAGTTCAGAGTGGAGGTCAGGTGGGACTAGCTTGCTTAGGGAAACCTAAGAGCCTATGAAAAAGGAGCAGGAACAGCATCCTTGGCAAGGGGCGTGCATTTTAATCGACTTGAATTGGAAACTGGATATTTGCTCGTCTTCATGCTCGGTGCCCATCATGGCATTTGGTGTACACCGACCCCCTTGTTTTGTCACAAAATGAAATTCGCGTCGTTCGTTAGCTCCTTGCGTGCCTGAAGTTCCGATCCTGGCACACGCATTAATTGCAGTACCATTACGGTGTTGGCGCTCGCATCAGTTCGGAAAGCTGGGGCCGCTCCAGCGCACTAGGAGTGGCTTACCTGCCGACATCGCGACAGTTCGACGCATTCGCATGGCGCAACCCCGACTTTGTGTCAGTCATTGCCGCCGGCAACTTCGGTACGTTCCGCTGCGCGCTGAATTTTTCTGATAAGTAAGAAAGTATAAAATCGATTAGTTGGCGTTTGTCTGCGGCTCAGAATGCTGGCATGTAATCCCAGAAGTCGCTGTCTGGCAGCTGCACCTATCCAGTCATCCTTTGAAACTGGCTTTAAAAGGATATCCATTCGTACGTATGAGTGCGCTTAGCTATCACAAATAAGCTTCGTCGCTCGCTCGCTCGCTTGCGTCGGTTGCTCGGGCAACCGTCGGGCTCTGCATAATAATCCGCGTGCAGCAAACTGTATTAATTAAAATGTTGAATTGGGTAAACCTCAGCTGATGCCATGCTGGCATCTGCGCACTCCTAGGGATGGATGGTGGAGGTGGTCCTATCCAGCTAACTTGCGTCGGCCTTCGGCGGTCTCGCACAAATGCTGTGTTGCAGGTCGCAACGGTATGGTATCCATCACGGCGCCGGGCACATCCAAGGTACGGTAAATCGTACGACATTTCAAAGATTTCGAAGCCTTGTAGTACATGCTGTGTCTGGACGCTGGCACACGTACGACTTTCGACTGTGTGGTTTCTCTAATCTAACAAGTGCAATTTCTCACCCGCGCCTCGGTTTTTGCTTGCTTGCCATTTGCCCCACAGAACGGCATTACCGTTGGAGCAACCCACAATTACCCCCAGGACACGGCTAGTGCTGGCCTCAACTACATGTTTTTTATCCGGTATCGCGATGCCAGTGGAACCAGAGTGGACTCCGCGGTAGGCAGGGAAGATCCGGGTTTTGCTTGACACCGCATGTCTTGGCTGCCCTGGTCGCCTTTGGTGCAGTAATGCACGGCCAGATGGCCCGCTCTGGTTCTGCCCTTCAGGAGGCTGGAGCCCACTGCAACAACCACACACACAACCGCACCCGCACCTCATGAGCCATGGTGCAGCTCGTTACTATTTATGGCTTCTTGGTGGCTGCTTCTATTTCTATGGCGCTAGTTCTCCTGCGGCTCTCCATAACGCCGGCAGCCGAACCTCCCTGATCTTTTTTTGTTACGTTCTTTCTCTCATTCTTTTACCGTTTCCGTCTCCTGCCGTTGCATGTCGCTTGTCGCGTGTGTGCCGATTTTACAGCTGATGCATTACTTGCACATATGCCCGTTTACCTCTCTCCTTTCCTCCCCATCCACTCCTTTCCTCTTTTGAATCACCCTTTGATTTTTCATGCTGTGCAGCTGTGGCCCCGTATGGGAACCGATCAGACTGTTTGGAGGACACTTCTCGCGAATAAGGTGCGTGGGCTGAATCAGATCTTTTATCCTTTTTCAGCTCTTTTCTATCCTTCAGATCCTTTTTCAGCTCGACAGCAGCGAGGCTGCTGGGCTGCCTGCTGCTGCGATGGATGGACGATGATTTGGGTGTTACGAGCAAACATTTGCCCTGCGAACCTATTTATATATTGCTCCACTTATGGTACGTGTACCTGACAATAACGGATCGCTTGTCAATTGCAGGAGGTTCCGGTGCGCCTTCCCAACCCAGAGAACGCATGCACGGCCCTGCAAGGCAGCTACGCAGGCAGTGTTGTAATTGTGGACCTGAAGCAAGGTTGCACAAACAACACAATGACGTCCAATATCGTCAAGGCCGGTGCGGCCGCCATCCTGTTCGTGGTTGCGGATGACGGATTTATTGAGGGCCGGAAGCTCTGGACGCCAAGCACAGCCGTCACCTACTCGCTGATGTCTCGGGTAGGGCTCTTCTGCAGTACGACTGCGTCCATCCAAATTCCCTCGAGACAGGACGAGCAATTATGTAAATAGCAAATGCAAGGCTGACAAACTTGTTGTAGTGCTACTTCCCGGAATGGCTACTTTTTATCTCGTTTTACATTACAATGGAGCCCTCCTGTAGATTTGCCGATCCAGCATGCTATTTGTCTGTCTGTTCTTTTAACACTTGTTGCAGATTGGGAGGCTTCTGGGTCATTTTGCACGCATTTGGATCGTCATATAGGATTGAATACTACTATGCATCACCATCCACCGTTACTTCACCATACGAACTGCAAGTCCATGGCAGTTAATTCTGCCCTCTACAATCCGTTCTCATCCTTTCACCAGCACATCCGTAGGGTTCAGCAGTCGCCACCAAACCAGCGTGCGGATCTCAGTCCATTAACTGTCACCTTAACTCCACATCTCGACCCTCGCCATAAATAATTTCACGCTCCCGAAAATGTTGGGGTCTACCTTGAAACCCAACCTAGGATCGTTAACCGCAAAGTGCAGTGTTTCCCGACCAGACCTTGTCACTTTGTGAATTGGTTGCTAAAGCAAGAATGCTGTCGTGGATATTTGCTGGGCTTAATGTATACAGGTGCAAGGTATGAACATCATTAATGCCTTGAGAAACAGTTCCAACACCAACTTCGTTGCGACCTACCTCGATTACGTAAGTTTAATCGCTTTAATAATTGGTTTCATGTTTATCGATGTAATCGCTTGGATCACTGTTTTTTAATGTTTAAGATTTAAGCAGGTTCGACAATCGTATAGAAGGGAAGCTAGGATTAGAGCTGTCCTGCGCTGTCCTACGCTGACCTTACCGTTTTCTGACAAACTGCGCGCCGTTTTTCTCTTTAAATGTGCCTCTCTCCCACAGCCCAACGTTAATCTCGGCATCGACAGCATCGCGCAATTCTCCGGCTCAGGCCCGCTCTATGATGGGCGCATTAAGCCCGACGTTGTGGCGCCTGGCACTAACCTCATCTCGGCGTGCGGCTCCACACTGGATCCGGAAGCAACAAGTAAGCAGTGCCATACTAATATACAACCGAACAAGAGCATAGACTGCGGTCATCCCGCCCTGGTCACAGTCACGAACGGGCTGGGGTGGGTTCGGTTTCTTAAACTGTTTGCGCACCCAGCCAAGCAGCGAATGAAGTTACACGAACATCGCTGCTTGCAGGACACCTAAAGAGTTCAAAAAACGATTACCAGAGATAATCGAACAATGCTTGCAGACCATTGCAGATAGGATGTCATGGCCTATATACATGCCCGACTTTCGGCCTTACTTTGCGCCATTGTTTACCACCCATAACTGGCATACTCGTTAGGGTTTGGACATGACAGTTTTACCGCTTGCCTTCGCTCTCTGTCGGCCCCTAGCGCACAAGGCGCTTATCCGCGTGCCTGACCTATCAATTCCACTAATCGTGTACATGTGCACTTCCCCCCACTCCGCATCGGTCGGGCCGTTTGCAACTCTCAAATCCGACCAGATTAAGATGCACATGGTGCATCTTTAACGCAGCTTAACCGCATCTCAGGTTGCCATCCGTCATGCCAATTTAAAATTATGTCCGCTAGCACAGAGCGCCTTGATCTGCTGCCTCAATCCGTATGTAAGCTCAAAAATAATGCATCTTGTTGGAGTGAAAACGTAGCTGAGCCATTTTGCCTTCGTGTGAGTTAAATTGCCCGCGCCCGGGCCTGTTATCTGCTCGCAGGCTCCAGCTGTAGCCGTCTCACAATCCAAATGTCGGTAAGAAGGGGATCTTCTCTAGCGCCGCCAGAATTGCGTGATGACGGGTACTGCTGTGATGCGAGCCGTTGTGCAGCAGCGCGCCGAGGCAGCTGCAGCGAAGTGTATAGATCTGTAAGAATCCAGGCGGGACCCTTTTGCCCTCATTCGCAAGCAAGACGCAGCTGTAAAAAATTAACTTGTTCGGCCGCCCGTGCATGCTGCATTCTAACGGACGTTTCGGGACTTGAGCTTTGATGTTATGCTAAGTTTACCGTACCCCCGCCGCCGCCGGCTGCGCTCCCAGGGAACATCCATGGCCACACCGTTGGTGGCAGGCCACCTGGCTCTCGTGCGCCAGTACTTCAGGTGCGCTCGATAATGAGTGCGGCTAATCGACCCTGCTTTCCTTGCCCCTCAATAGTGCTGTCAATACACCTGGAGCTGCTCCTGAGGGTGCTTCCACTGCTACTGGTATCAATCACTGCCGCTTGCTGAAACTGCCAAGACCCAAGAGTGCTTGTCAGTAGGGCGGCTTCGTAAGATATTCCTATGATATATTCGTACGATGTGACATGTCCATCCCGCGCTCATCTCTTGGACCAGGATGGGCACATTCAGAGGACCCGAACCAGCCGTGCGCTGAAAGTCAATAGGCCTCGTATGGGGTTTGTATTGTTTGGAATCATCTATTCCTAAATTGGATGTATGTGCGTCGTTTTTCCATGCGATGGCAGGGATGGGTTCTACCCCGCTGGAGCTGCAACCGACGTGCCGACAGTCCCGTTCGATCCGTCTGGCATGCTGCTCAAAGCCGCCGCTATCACCAGCGCAAAGTCTCTGGCGGTAAGCAGGTCTTGCGGCTATAGCTGTAGTAGCTGCAACCGGGTATCATCCTACACAGAAATCAGGCCAAGCGCTGGCTTTGCTATCCATCCATCTCGACTGATTACTTGGCTGACCGATTGACCGACCGGGCGACCGATTGGCAGCAAAGGCTTTGCACTTTTTGGACTGCAGTCCTTGCTTCTATGTGACGGGAAAGTGGAAAAGAATCCTAAAACATCAGGACCTAATTGGATTGATCCCTCGGCGGCTGATTCACTTTGTCGTGTCGCTTTCCGTGGATGAAGTGCACATCCTTCGCCCCGAACCTATCTCGGACGCAGGAAGTGACCCTAATGACTAACCTGTGTCATACTAGGCCTAATTAATTGATCACAAGTAAGGGTTTGCCAGCTTAGCTTTTGTTGTCTGGTCCGACAAAAAAATGGCGTTTACCTGTTTCCTGACCTGAGTGACCCATTTCCCAGAAAATTTGCACAACCATCCTTGCTGACTGCTGAATGAGTGGAAGTCTCCCTGTTTTGTTGATGTCAATTGCAGGGCGGCCTTGCGACGAACGTGGGGCGCGTCATGGGTCAGGCGCCGGACGGCCTGCAGGGCTGGGGCCGTCTTGACCTGAGCAGCGCCCTACCGCTGGTGGGCTTCACCAATCCGAACTTCCGCATTGCAGTCGCTGACTACGGAACAATCCGGGATGGCGAGATGATCTATCTGCCGGGAATCCGCGCGACCGGCACCGGGTGAGTGCGTGTGCTGTGCGGGCATGCATGGTTGGTTGGCTAGTTGCTTGCAGTAATAGTCAGCTTTTTCTAAAGCTGTCAGTATACCGCCAGATTGTGTGTAGAAAGCAAGTTAATAAGCTCTTGATGCCGGACTGGACTGGATCTCTGATGATGCCATTGAAGCGATTGCGTTCTTAGTTCACACTTTTGTGGCTCCAATCGGCTGCACGAGTGCCCGATTGTGACTTACCAATCACGTTCTTGACCCGTATCCTGTTCCCGCCAGGCCCATTATCGCCACGCTGGTTTGGCACGACTTCCCTGGAAGCGGCATGACGAACCGGGACCTGATTAATGACCTAGATTTTGGCTACCTGCTCAACCCCCAGAGCACCACCACAAACTACAGCCGGACGCGCGCGGGTGAGTTTAGGTCACGGGGGCATGCTACTGCCTGCTGTGGCAACAGCGTAGTTGGATGAGCGCCTTCAAGTTGGTGGCGATCATCTTCGCTGCGTGAAGTTATATAGTTATTAAGTTATTATTAAGTTAGTTAGTTAGTTATTAAGTCATATTACTGCCCTCATTGCTCATCAAGCTAGAGGTGAGAAAAGATGAGCTCTTTGGTTACCCTTGTCTCCATCCTTTCGTCCTCCTTAAGTTACTCGCGCCTTTCCTTTCCAATTTTTGTATCTTTTTTTCTTTTAACGCTGTCCCCAATTTTCTTTCCTCGTTTATTTCTCTCAGACAGCGTCAACAACGTGGAGCGCGTGGAGCTCTATAACCTGCAACCGCGTGACAACGTAACGTTCGTGGTTCACGGTCGCGCCATCCGCCACTCGCTGCTGACCACACCCGACGCGCAGCGGCCGCAACGCTGGTCCGTCCTGGTGGCAGGCCACTTCACGGGCACGCTAAGGACACCGCTCAACCCGGCGTTCGCACGTCCCGCACGCGTGCCGGTACGTGCTACTTGCTCCTGGCCCCGTATTTTAGTTAACGCATTTGGTGCGTCCTGACATACTGAGTCGCTTGTTGGTGCCCGCTTGCTGCATCTTTCTGCATCTCAGGCCAACATGCTGATCCAAATGCCGAATGGCACGTGCCTGACCGTCCGGGCCAATAACTTAGTCTTCGATCCCGCGGCGACTGCATGCAACGCGACAACCGCGATCTTCAACTTCATTGAAGAACCAGGTTTGTACACGAGTGTTGTCACCAGTAATGTCTGGAGCCTCTTAGGAGTGTGAGGGGAATCGCCTTATGTCGCTCGTGGCTGCCTGCTGATGCGACCACACTCATGGTAACCACCCCTGGACTAACCTCGCCTGCGGCTGCCGCTGTTGCTGCTGCTGTTGCTGCTGCTGTTGCTGCTGCTGTTGATGTTGTGCGCTGCTTTTGCTGCTGCAGACAACACCACGGGAGGGTACCTGTACCGGATTCGCGAGTTTGGCGGCACCCGATGTGCGACGATTTCCAGCAATGCCATCGGCTTCTGGCCTCAGCTTACGGAGTGCAGCCCGACATCCCAAAGCCAGAAGTTTGCGGTGTTTGCTAACCCCAACCTGGTCGACGGGTAAGTGCACGTGCGTGCACGCGTAAAGCTTTAGCTCATGTCGAGAAGGAAAAGATTTGTTGAAGTGCCCTTTTGGCCCGGGTGCACCGGATGGCAGGAGTAGGACCTGGAATAACAATGTTGTCGATAAAGCGCTATAAGGCTGTGTTGGCGTTGTTCGGAAGTATAAAGGACCAATCTGTGCGCTCTTGTATATATGCAGTCCTTCCTTTCTTCCTTTCTTCCTTTCTTCCTTTCTTCCTTTTTCTTCCTTTCTTCCTTTCTTCCTTTCTTACTTTCTTCCTTTCTTCCTTTCTTCCTTTCTTACTTTCCACTACATGCGGACAACCCCGGGCCCCGCTGCCTTACCCCTTTTGATTGCCGTTACCGCTATTGACTGGACGGCAATGCAAATATAATATAATATATAGTTATGTCTGTATATATGTATGTATGCTATGTATGTATATGTATTTATATTTGTATTTGCCTGATCTGATGCAGGCCATTCTACCAGATCGTCCCGGCGATGGCCCCGAGCACTACTATGGACAATCGGCGCTGTCTGCGAACCGTTTCATCCATCCTCCAGCTGCAATCCAGTTGCGACGATGATGACCCGACGATGTCGCTCCGTCTTGTCCGCCCAGCGTCTGTACCACCACCGCCACCACCGTCACCGTCACCGCCAGTTCCCACACCGGCTGTTCAGGACCCCCCACAGCTGTGGTACCCCTTCCCGCTGACTTTCCGCGTGGACTTCTACCCCGTCACAAGTAAGTCTGTCTCCGGACATCGTGGCACCTTTTAATGTTTTCTTATGTATCTATGCAGTTTTTGTTGTGCACCACTCTGCTTGCGTTCGACAAATCGCGGTGCCTTAATTGCGGTGCTTTAAGGCACTTAACTGCCTCTCATACTGCGCTTAGATCTTTGTAGCGTCCAGCAGTTTCGCGTGCTGTATTTCAATTATTTATTTATTTATTTATTCATTCATTCGTTCGCACATTGTACATCCTTTCGTTGCGACACAAGCAATACTTGTAATAAAAATGCTGCTCTGTTCGCTTGCAGATGTCGCAAGCGCCAACACCTACGACTACGACTACACCGACGACACCTTGCGGAGCACCGTATCTAACTTTGACCTCCAAGTGTCGTGGAACTGGAACGGTCAGACCTTCTCTGCCGGCATAGGAAACTTCCTTGGTTACGAAACCGCAATCTCTTCGTCAGGTGCTGTACACGGCGGTGACAACATCATCTACGGCACCATGTACGAAGAAATTCACTGGCAGCTCGGATACACGCCCCCGCCCACCACCTACTACGTTTGCGTCGCGTGGCAAGGCCCCACCGCGTCTTCGAACATGAATGTTATATTGACGGTGTTCAAGAACGACCCTGTTGCGAGCATTTCGACGACTTTTAACACAGACTTCGACAACTTCGCCGACGGTGATTGCACACCGTCGTCTGTGGGCTACATCGGCAGCTACGACCTCAATTCGCCGCCGTCTCTGCCGCCACCGTCACCGTCACCGCCGCCGGCACCGGTGAACAACATCTACCCGCTGATGTTCAAGGCAGATTGGCTAGTGCTTTCCGGTGTAACAGGTGGGTTAGAACCAGTGTACTGCTGGTGTACTGCTGCCAACTTGCGTCTGTCTTGTCTGTGGTCTGCTGTTGTCAGAGGAGTTACTTCATTTGACGCATAGTTACGGATCTTATTGCCGGCGAGCAGCTGTTTGCTATGCGTCATTCCCAGGAGAAATATATACATCTCAGCGTCTTGCTCTCCGGGTTTCCTTACCTTCTCCTTAATGGAAACGGAAACAAGCCGGCTTGTACGTATCAATTTAAATATGTAGCTGAAGAACCAGCCCTGAACTGATTGTAAAGCCGAGGGAGCTTTCCTTACTTAGCTAAATTTATTGTTTATAAGGATTTAAGAACTGCAAAACATGCAGCTGCTTCGAGTTAATGGTCCTCTCGTTTTCCCTCTTTTTTTTAGGTCGCACCAACGCGCTTGTGGACATAGATATTATCGTGGCTTGGACGGACAAAGGCATCTTGTACGAGCTAAGCTTCGACTTTCCTGACAGCACCAGCGGCAGCGGCAAGTACGGCGGCAACAACTTTATCACCAACGTGAATTCCGAGAACGCGTATCTTACGGCAACTCCACCGCAGACTAGGTACGACGTCTGTCTACGATGGTACGACGACAAGAAGCCCTTGGTGCGCGGGACGGTTGTGGTAATGCGGTTCAACAGAACCGTTGCGACGTTTGTACGGAACTGGGATACGACATTACCAAGGAACGACATTTGTAATAGTGGAGCTGCGGGCTACATGGGCAGCTACACCCTAGGCCAGGAGCTCCTACCCTCGCCGCCGCCACCCTCTCCAAGACCACCACCACCAGCCTCATCACCACCACCACCACCGCAAGCCTTATCACCACCACCACCATCGCCGCCACCACCATCGCCGCCACCACCTTCGCCACCACCACCTTCGCCACCACCTTCGCCACCACCACCATCGCCGCCACCACCATCGCCGCCACCACCTTCGCCACCACCATCGCCACCACCACCTTCGCCACCACCATCGCCGCCCCCACCTTCGCAACCACCATCGCCACCACCACCATCGCCACCACCATCGCCACCACCACCATCGCCCCCACCATCGCCGCCCCCACCTTCGCCCCCACCATCGCCACCACCACCTTCGCCACCACCATCGCCGCCCCCGCCATCATCGTCACCGCCGCCGCCGCCGCCATCGCCGTCACCACCGCCGCCCCCATCCCCGCTACCGCCGCCACCGCAGCCGCCGTCACCGCGTCCACCGCCATCACCGCCACTACCACGACCACCTCCGCCACCGCCCCGGCCGCCACCGCCCCGGCCTTCGCCGCCACCATCCCCGCCACCATCGCCTCCGCCACCACCGCCCTTGCTGCCGCCGCCCCCACCGCCGTCACCCCCACCCCCGTCACCCCCACCTCCACGCCCGCCTCCGCCATCACCGCCGCTGCCCCCGCCACCACCTCCCCCAAGGCCGCCTCCGCCACCCCCACCGGCTGTGTGCCCGGACCCATTGCCGTCTCCAAGCAGCTTATTCGCACTTTATTTCCGTACAATGTGGTCCGACAGCCAAGGTACGGCATTGCTAGTTCCGTAGTTGGGACAAAGTCCCCAATTCGAGGTGGTTCAGCATCTCGTCCTACGTCCCGAAATGTGCGGAATCGATTGCGTCGTCCGGCTCATGATATGATGTTTGTGAAAACGACAAGGGGATTACACATGTTACAAGGGGGTTACAAGGGGTTACATATTCCGCATAAGTGCGGGTGGGCCGTCCGTAAAAGCCTGGAGGCCCCCCTTAGGACCAAGGTGGCAATTTTTGAAAGATTTTTACAGGAAGTCATGTGCACCTGCCAACCTTACAGCTTCATGGTTTGCTAGTCAGTTTCCAACGCTGACTTGCCTTCTGTTTTCCCTCTGTGCACGCTTGCATACCCAAAGGCGCTAGAGCGGGTGTATCGTACGACTGGGATATGGTCGTGGCTTGGACCGCCAACCAGCAGACGTACGAGGTTAGCACGTACGACAGGAACGTTGGCGGTGGCGTACACGGAGGCGATAACATGATGCTTGCGGGCAAGCCGAACGGAGAGGTACGTGATTACCGAGAAGGATTCGGGTACGTGAGTAAAAGACGGTCTGCTGGTTCACGTGGCAGCATGTGCCGTACACGTAACTAATGTACCCGACGCTCGTCTGCGCCACTCTTTAAGGCCCCTCATGGCTGCAGGTATACTCGTGTATGAGCCTCTCGTAATGACACCTTTGAAGGGTGGTAACGCAACTCTAGAACAAATACACATACACATACACATACACAGAGGCAGACGCGCACTGTACGAAGGCATGTACGAAGGCATGTCCTTTAGGATCATTTTCTTCTTAGAATCTGCTAGCATTTTTAGTTTTTTAGTTTTCCAAGGACGGGGAGAAGCATGTGCAAATTCGACGTTCTCCAAGTCTGAATCGCTGAATCATTATGCGTTGTGTGGTCCTTGTTGTCCTGGCCTGCGTGAGATCAAAATTCCAATTCGAGGTTTTTAAGCAATTCAAACCCTTTCCCGTGCCTAACGCACAATTTTCCTACCGAATGAATGTCTTGGTTGATTGCTATACTCTTTGGTGTTTTGGTTGATGTCAATCTTTTGTTTCCCACGCAGGTCGTGTTCTGGCCCACGGGCCTCACGAATGTCTTCCCCCAGCCCGCTGACTACCACGTCTGCGTGCGGTGGTATCAATCGGGGGCTCTCAACGTAACTCTCACGGTTTCCTTGGGCCCTACGCTCGTTAAAACCGTACCAGCTTACTGGACGAGCAACACCGTCTTCAGCAAGCAATGCAACCCGAGCGCCTCAGGCTACGTTGGTACTTACACCTACACGGGCAACAGCAGCAGCAGCAGCAGCAGCAGTGGCACCGGTCCGGCCCGCACGCTCCTCGCAGCCACCACCACCATTACCACCAATGGCATTGATGGCGCGTCGGCGCAGTTCAATGACCTGCACGAACTGTACGAGCGCGTCACGGCCGACGAACGAGTCGAACCTTCGACCATGCGCAACGGCGGCGCCCAGTTCGATGCGTCACGCAATCCAGCCGCCGCCGTCGAGGGTGAGGCAGCCAGCGGCGGCGCCGACACTGGCGTTACCGTCGCCGCCAACGGCAGTACGGCACCGCGGGCCGCCGCCGGACTCCAAGGCATCAACATCCCGATCCTTGTCGTCGCCGCCGTCGGTGTCGTCATACTTGGAGCGGCCATGGGATCTTTCGTAACGATTGTCTTGTTTGGATGGACCCAAGCGCGGCGGTCGCGAGGTTACAGCGCGTTGTCGACGTAAGAGACGAGGCTGATCAAAAACACGTGAGAATGGCCGGCCGGCCGGCCGGCAGCAAATCGGGTAGGCAGGTAAAAGACAGACAGGGAGAGGAGATGCCACAGAGGCTATATGCGCCGCTGCACTGCATTGCTATGCTGTATGTACTCTCTACAACTCGAAATTGTTTGTACATACGCATACACGGGATGACGACGCCGACCGATAGACTGCAAAGCGGCGCGCTCCCTTCTGGTATGAGTTAGCGTTTCTGCCTGCACACATGGAGCATCGCCACTTATCTATACATGAGTGTATATGCATGTATGCGATCGTGCCTTGCGTATTGTGTGTGGTGGTGCATAATTGCGGTGTTTAGTGCTTGTGGGATGTCGACACTTGTGCGGGTACGCACGTTCTTCGTGCGCAGGTGATGCTTTGGTGGGGTGGGTACCTGGGTCAGCCTTACAATCCAAAAACTCATGAGTTGGGTTAAAGTTCACAGACATGTCGCGCGCTGGAGCGACATTGGCGCATCCCCGCCGTGTTGAGATCATAGTCCTCGGTTGGCTAAACTTTCCAATTATTCGCGACTCCGTACACGTGCGCGTCCCTACACGTACATCTCCGTACGTGTACGGGATAATATCGATTCCAGCAGCCCTACACCTGAATGCAGGACAGTTACGCGCTTAATGAGTGCTGAATAGATAGGTCGATCGTCGTTGGACCATTCTTACTTCTTATTAGTTGCTGTTCCTGGATTCGATTCCTGCACGCAATCGCGAATCATCCTTTGCCAGTTCGCATGATAGAGGACGACGGGGGAGATACTGTGTACACGGGGGCCGGGAGTTGGGTTTAAGGCCAGTGTTGTCAGTCGTATATGTACGAGGATGCGTGTGTTTGCATCCGGCAGGGGTGGGATGGGATGGGCGTGCGCGCGTGCTTTGGTCTTGCATTAGATAATAACACATATGCAGGTTCGGGTCCAAAAAAGCAGGCAGGCAGGGAGTTAGGTCTTATTATGAGCTAGAGACCAAGCAGACGTACCAAGCTGCTGAGATGACGGAGACCACATTGATTCTGACCTTATCAGTCACCAATTAATCGCTGCTGTGTATATGATATTAGATGACTATCTCCCATGCTGGCGTACGTAGTCTTTGGAAGCCTGCTGGTGTCTTTAGAGCTCAATCCTCAGACGGCATTTCTGCGTGAAGATCTAGCGGGCCTGATTAGAGGTTTTGGCATCCCGGGTAGCAGCTGGGTTTTGCGCTACCCCCGTGCGTGTGGGCATCATTGCGCATATGTGCGGCACGTAAATGGCGGAGATGCATGAGAGCCAGCGCCTGGGTACTAGCATGTCCTGACCTTTCGCTGACGGACCTGTTAACTGTCAGCATGCGATGGATGGGCAAATCCCAGATTTGGAATGCTGTGTGTGCTGCTCGTGCTTAGAGTGCTATCGAGCGATGGATGACGTGGACGAATAGTCACAACACAACGCTTCTGGCTAGCTCGTAAAAGCTGTCGCGATTGCTGAAAGGAAGAGGTTAGCGGAAAAGGGGACTAAGCATCGAACCTTTCTGTAATCTTACAGCTCCCAGGAGCTTACCGGTGCACAAAGCATTCGTGATAAGTGCTGAGCAGCTCGGCAACAGGCAACACAAATTATTTGCCGGGGATGATGTGATATAGGCTAGTACAACGAACCCCCGTAGAGAGCCTTAGCCATCGGAGCTTTGCCTCATGCAGAGCTTCAAAGAAAGCAAACGCTGGATTGTATGCGTTGTAAAAGAAGCCCTAACTAAGATTTACTTCGGGAAGGAGAAGTTGGAGGCAGGTAGGAGGGCGAAGAGTTGCGACAACTTCATTCGCGTGAATGGATCTTCGCTCGCTCTATCACACTTTGCAGAGAAGTTGCAGAGCCTCATCTTGCGCTCTTTTCAAACAGGCATAATAGTTTAAATGCTTGTTGGTAGATAGCCAATAATAAGTTTTGCATCTTTAACAGCACCTGTGCTAGGCTGAAGCTTGATTGGCTGGCTGGCTGACGCACTCCGTATTTGGCTTGCTTAACAGATGACCCGTCAAATCTCACCATGCACGAGCTAAGCCATGAGCTACATATACAGCTATACACAATCTATCCGGTGCTGCATAACAGCTACAGTCCGCACCGGGGAGCTTAACCGACTGTTGCAGCAGTCGAACGAGCCTAGTTAGGCTATGTCCGTGACAGGACACAGGTACAGCACTGCAAGTTGCCGCATCCAGGGTCGTTTATTACGGGGGGTAGGCCTCACCTTTTTAATTCCGATGTCCGCCCTGCGTCATGGCCATAGCGTCTCCCGTCTTGTGGGCCAGAATGTCTTAGGGTTTTATGTGGTCGTAGCATCTCATGCCAGGCTACTGCTTGCGGTGGCATCTGGCGTGAGTCGGAGAAACCATAACAGTATCGATTCCATACACCTGATAACACTGACCAGAACGTGTCCTCGGAAGCATCTGCCTTCCGTATGAACACGTACATACAACCAAGGCAGGCGGCTGGCAGAGGTTAAGGCCTGACTTCTGCTCCCGGCGCGTCCGAGTTCAAATCCGGGGTGTTTGAGAGGTGTTGAAATGGGAGGTGGCCCCCCATCTTGTGGACGGTGTAGGACGTGATAAAATCAACTTGCGAGCTGACCAGGAACTAAGTTGACGCACCGTTGATCCGCTAGATTTGGTTGGATGCTGGTGGTGAGTTGCCAAACTCAAAGGGTACACTCTGAAGTCAGATGGGGTGAACGGATTAGGGTGCCCCTCTAGCAGGGGAGAGCAGGGAACTGCCTCGGGAAGGAGGCCACTGGTGAAGCTTAACCACCCTGTAACAACATCAACCAAGTGCTGACGGCTTGAGACTGCAGCATTTCATGATGGTGAAGCACTTCAAACGATAAAAGGAAAGAGATGGATATTCGGAGCGCAATAAATTGCACAGGCAGCACATATGCCATGCCCCAGTCACGCCTTTCCACCACACAGCGCCGCGCATTTATACGGGCTCTTGATATCTCAATTGCATTCAACAGGCAGGCGGCTGGCAGAGGTTAAGGCCTGACTTCTGCTCCCGGAGTGTCCGGGTTCAAATCCGCTTGCCGATCTCTCGGGTGTTTGAGAGGTGGTGATATGGGAGGTCGCCCCCCATCCTATGGACGGTATGTGACGAGATAAGATCAACTTGCGAGCTGACCAGGAAGTAAGTTGATGCGCCGTTGATCCGCCAGATTTGGTTGGATGCTGGTGGTGAGTTGCCAAACTCAATGAGTACACTCTGAAGTCGGATGGGGTGAATGGATTAGGGTGCCCCTCTAGCAGGGGAGGGCAGGGCATTGCCTCGGGAAGGAGGCCACTGGTGTAGCTTAACCACCCTGTAACAACATCAACATCTTCGTGGGAAATCCAAGCTATGTGTGCAGCTTTTATTAGGAAAGGCTTACCCGTGGCTGGACTATGGAGCTTGCATCGGTATAATTATTCATGCACCCACTTCGGTCTGTTCCCGTATCGCGGTTCGCATGGGTCGTGGGTGTGTCTTTGCCGTCACATTAGCATGGCTGTGCATGGTGTACGGTTTTGGGGCGGTAGGAGCTTTCACGGGCGCTGAGTGTCATTATGGTTGTCAGGTAGATTAATCGTGGTGTGCGTCGCTAATACACATAAGCCGCGGTGGACATGAACGGTGCCCATTCCCAGCACGGCTCGTCAACCCCCTGGCTGGCTGAATGCTTTACATACACTATCTGCGACCGGCGGTGTGCGCCCACAGCCCCCCATAGCTCTTATACGCCAATGTGGGGATGTGCGGTTTATCTTGTTTTGTTTGCCCCGTGACGGCCAAGCTGCTGTAATAAAGGCCGCCGCGCCTGTTGCAGATCGTGATGCACGCTGTCGCATGTGCTATGACGTCCTAAAACGCAAAGTTTTGGCTGCGCGCATAAACCTACAGTGTGTCAAATGACCTACTACCTACTCCTAGGAAAACGGGCAGCCTCAGCTTCAGTACTACCAGCGACTGCTGCTAAGATTGCTGATGGTGGTGGGTTGGTAAGTTGAGAATCGACCAGTCCTATCAGATAGGTAGGCTTATTTCGCATGCACCGTTTTGGAGGACTTGATGGCAACCTGATTGAGACCTAATTAAGCAGTGCCCCGTTCTGTTCCATGGTTCTGGGGCTTCATGTGCAGCAGGTACGTAGCGCAAGTACGTACTTTTTATGCTGTTGACTATACAGCACCGTAGATGTGAATGGATTCATGCCACCTCGCGCGATATATTACAAATTCATGATACAATACAATATCCACCCTCTTTTAATCTAGAGGCCCAAGTTGCGAAAGGATTGAGGGTGATGGCCAGTATGCGAGCCATACTCTACCTACCTGCATTGATACTCTTTGGTGCCGCCTCCTTAGCTCAGAATGCGCCTAATATATTATCTCTTCGGAGCAATCCATTGGTGGAGTTAAGGTGAGTGTTTTTAGCAGCTTTTGTCCAACACAATACGTAAAGGTATTGTTTGTGCTATGTTTAGCAGAGACTTTAGTACCTGGTGGATATGATTATATAGACCTGAAGGAAGAACCTTAGCCTGCAATTGTCTCTTTGCGAAGGCCAGTTTCCCACCCGTTGCTTGCATTTCGCTGGCAAGTTCCTACAATCAACATGCCATGTTCTCATACGAGCTTGTCCACTCACATTACTACATGCGTTCTATCCGCGAGAGAGCTCTGAATTTCGCGTTTCGCACTGATGCAAACGCCCCGCTTCAGGGCGGTTAAAAAGGATAAGTGCATGCAGTTTACTGCTTTGGTTCTCAACGGGCGCTTTATCTTAATGTAATTTTTTCATTTTCATTGCTTCATTATGCGCTGGTCGGTTGTCTGGCTTTTACGCAGCCCTTGCGGATGGCTCGTTGCTTCGGTTGCTGAACTGCATATCCGCCTTTACCCTGCCGCGAGTCGCATTTCGTATGCCATTGACGTTCCTGTACACTGCGAACTACTATTGGGCGGCGAGAGCGGCAAGAGGGCCTCGCCCTAGCGGTACTTGCCCGCCGCGGCGGATAGAGGGTAGGCGGGATGCTTGCAGACTTTAAGAAGTCGAAACACGAGTCGGAGACCAAGCAGGGACTTAATTCTTTATGCACCAAGCTTTCAGCAGCTCCGAAACCCTACCGGACCCCACCCGTTTCCTCTTCCATGCATGGGCTCGCTCATCAAGATGCCCAGCTCCTTACGCGCATCCAATCGTAAACCACACGATCACACCAGACCCCGTGTGCAGTTTCCTCGTTGGCCTTTAAGATATTTCCCAGCCAGCTTTGTAAGAATTGTTGGGGCAATGCACAGTGCGTTCCTCCTGCGCGTTGCGTGAGACTCACTTGGATACGGGTACCGGGGATGTCCAGGGATGGATATACCCGCTTACTCCTCTTCCTTGTTCTAGAGCTTAAAATATATTGGAATGAGTACGTTGCCTCCGTAGGGCACACTTCATGTATGGTACGGTTGCTTCGATGAAACATTTGCACCAAGCTCTCGAATTAAGCGCAATGTCAGGGAACGAACAAGAAAAGGAAGTGGTTTCTAGCAGGCGGCTTGTGGTTGCTTGCATGTGCCGCACACCTGCGGTAACATGGGTGGAGCTGCTTGGGCGCCTGTTGCGATCCTTCTTTGCATTGCCCCGAGTTGTGATTGAACGATTGACGCTGAAATGAGAATGGCCTGATTACCCGTAGTGTTGTGTGGTGTGTTTCAGGAGGTCATGTTTTCCCCATTACCATACCATAAATGAACTCATGTTCGTGGCTAAGGCAGACTCAGGTTACGATGGCCCTCGACCGGATCACTGGTGCTGATCGCTTAACCCGAACACAGGATTGTTCCAAGCGATATGAAGTGCCACATGCTAGCCAGCCGCCGGCGGTGTACAACCATCCTATGTCTTTACGAGGGCGTTAAAATGCTGTCCTACGCCCGCTTGACTGTAGTTTTGGTTAAGATTACAGAGTTATTACGCGTCATGTTTGCCATCCTTGCAATCGGTCGACTTCATGCTGCTGCCCACTTGCCTTGCCGCAGCACGGCTGATAAGATTATGGACAGCACAGTCGTCAGTGCATTTAATCCCTACGACGACGATCAGGGCGGTCTCTACCTTCCCTTATTACCCGTTGACCCCAGCGATATGTATGCTATGGTGACACCGGGGGGCACCGACCCCCTAGGTCGCCGGTTGCAAGTGGTGCGATTCAGTAAAGGTGTGTGATTGGTAAGGGTATGTGGGCTTGGTGAGTTGTGTGTGGGGGTAATAAACAATGCCGACAGGCCCAATACTAAATCATGTGCGCGACAGTTCTGTAAGCTCTAGCATGTATAGCCCCAGGTTCTTTTACCCCCCAAAACCCTGTCACACGTATCATCGTTGCTCTTACACCTCTCACATGCACACTTTCTCGTACATCCTACATCCATCACCTCACCAGTGGACACCTGCATCAGACAATGAACACCAACCACCACACCATGAAAGAAACTAGCGCAATGTGGTTGTGTTATATATTCCGGGTACCTGGGTATATCCTGGGCGCTTGCTGGTTATATCCAAAAAGTCTTGGTGTTTCTTTTGGCGGCGTTAGTGTGGTGATCCATAAACGTAGATGAGCGTTGCTTGGTAACCAGGCTAGCTCCCCCCCTCCCTATGGTTAAACTTCTCCGGTACACGGGATAGATATCCGCGTCCCAACAGGGTTTGCATGTTTGGCCGCAGTTATGTAAGCCTCGGCTCCTAGCACGCTGTTAGTGCCTCGTTTTACGGTATGCATCCAATGCATACCGTAATCACGGTATGCATCCAATGCATACCGTAATCACGCTCCTTTGGGGCTCAATGCGACGCTGGGGGGGGGTGTTTTTGAAGCAGCAAAGGGGTATCACGAGCAGCGAGGACGGCACTTGGGAGAACTCCTGTCAAATAAGGAGTTCTGCCATCCTCGCTGCCATCCTCGCGCCACTTGGGAGAAAAGTCCTTATTTGACAGTAGTTCTCCCAAGTGCCGTCCTCGCTGCTCGTGACACGCCTTTGCTGCTTTACAAACACCCCCTCGCGCGTTTAAAAACTGCCCGACTCACTTATGATGGTGTGTTCTTCATGATGTTGATCATCCGCAGGGGATATACGGCAAATTCGTAAAGCACTAATAAGCTTGGACGTGAAAATCCTTGAGGTGCTGGACTCAAGGACGCTCCTTGTGTTTGGCAGGCTGGATGCGGTCAAGGGCGTCGTGACCGCTTACAACGGGCTGATGGTGGGTGCAACCATCAAGGCGCAAGGCCCTAGCCTGCCATCATAAGTATTCACCCCAGAGCTGCGGCCAACCTGGTGGTGAAACGTTTTAGGAAGGCAAGAGCACGTCGCGCGTCAGCAAGAATGTGCACGACTATTGATTGCATTGTGTGTGGTGCAAAGAGGATAAGGCAGAGATGTGCATGATGTTCGGAAGCTTCGTACAGCCTGGAAACATCGTATAGGCGCGGTTCTTAGCTAAGACGGTCATGAGTTGATCATATGCATGAGCATCATCCGCTGATAGATGCCAACCGCCCGCAACGTAACTCGTTTTAAAATAAAAAAAACTCAAAGGGTTTCGGCAGTCAGTACGAGGCGGACGGCGATGGGGTGCTTCTTTTTTTCCAGGGCATGTGTGGATAGGTGCCGAATGTGTGGGTGGATGGATGTCGCTAATGCAAGTAGTCTTGGATGCGGGCCCTCGCAGGCAAAATACGAACCTGGATTCAAGATCACGCCAGAGGCATCCGTGCTTGCGGAAGAGGCCAGTGCGCTGTCTTCACCAACAAGGAGGCGCCGCAACCAAAGGCGGTCACTGCAGGCGGATTCAGGCGGCTCTCCACCTCACCCGGATCGGCGTTCAGGCCGCTCTGAGAGGGCTTACGTCAGCAGCGCTTTTGACGCCGTTCAGATTTGGGACACGCATTCCTACGACAGGCCACAGTCGTCCTTCGGAGAACTGCAAAACGGCGGCGGCGAGGCAAGGAGGCGACGTCGGAGCGTTCAGGAACGCCGTAACGACAGTCGTACTGCTGGTCGCGGTAATGGCAGCAGCAGCAGCGGCGGCGGCTCCTCCAACACGCGTTGGGTCAACCTGTACGGCATTTCCGTACAGATCGTTCAGGAGCTGTATCCCGATGTGCTGCGAACCATTAAGCAAGATTGGCCTGGTGCGCTTGCCTCGTACTTGGGTCTCGGCGATGAGCACCCCTGCATGCCTATCTTCGTGGGCGAGGCGCTGTACTCGACGACGAGTCCGGAGCTGCAAATCTATGTGTGCAAGGAGGTGGGGACTGTGATATACGTGAGGTGCTGTGACGGGGCAGAGGGGCTAGAGGGAAGATTGTGTGAACAATGCGGAGGAGTGCCTTCAGCACTTATTTCCCGAGGTCTGCTGATCGATTCCGCAATTTTTTGTGTGCAAGCAGGTGCGGTCTCACATCGCGCTACAGCGGCGCACGGTCTGCGTTTGACGCGACAGTGTCTTTGGTCAAAAAATGTATAGCCCGGTACACCGCCTGGCACACCGCATTTGGCACACGCTTGTCTCTACCCAGACGGCCATAATAGTTGATTAGTGTCCTTGTTTTCCTTGTGTCCAATGCTTGGATGTTAGGTCTTTTGCGTCGTATTGCGTCTGTCTAGGCTCTTGCGCCTCTATCTGCCAGCTCGTGTATGGGCACACTCCTCGTCTCTATCTACCGGGGTAGCGCAAGCCGAGGTGTTACACACATACACACATACATACATATACACACACAAATACGTACATATGCACAGACAGACAAACACATACATACACACACAGCACGCCGCTCTTGCATATAAATGCATCCCATGGAAAACGTCGCTAAGAGTTCCCGAGTTCACAAAGCAATTAAGGCACTGTAAAAACGCCAATCGCTGCGCTGCGTGTCGCTTTGTCACTTGGGAGCTTATTGAGCTTTAGCCCCAGTCATCACACCCTCTAGGATACATGCCCTCGAGGGAAACGGTGCGGGACGCTAGAGGACGCGCTTGGCTTTGGTAGCCAGCTACCGCTGAGGTCAGGGCGTCCATGATAAATCCCAGCGTGCGTGTGGCCACCCCGCAGCGAGAGATTCTAGAAGGATCTGACATCGTAGCACTGTCCGCTTGGTGACGTATTGGTGTGTCGTGACTTAACTAGTGATGGTCTCTAGGAGTATGTTAGCGTTAGTGATAGCGTCTAACCTACCCTACTATCTAACCTACTATCTACCCTACTATCTACCCTACTATTTATATCTAGCCCGCACCAGCATTTATGTACTCGTCCCTGCTTGTACGACAGGATTACGGAATGGCCGTGGAGTGGTTGTCGTACATGCATATTACGAAGTTGATTGAACCGGTGCTGAACGCGGAACCTGTCAATGCCATCGCGGGTTGGATTTTGCAAACAGGTACGACGCCGTTCACAGTACTGCATCCAACATGCATTTATGGCAGGTCGGCAGAATGACTGCATTTAGCTGCTCTAGGGCCACGTGGGAGCCTGTGTACGGCACTATGGATGGACAGGTTCGTGTTTTGTCGTAAACGCCACGCGTGTTCCCACATACCCGTGCATGTGCATGTATACATGTGTGTGTGTGTTCCACCTACTGGAGTTGCGTTAACCGCGTAAGGTGTAATGAGCCCATACGAGCCAGAGGCCCAAGGGCAAGCCTAGGGCTGACCACACACGCATACCCCGTTTGGTGCGTTCGGTGGCTGCTCAAGCACTTCCTGTTTAGTGCACGGCCTCCCACCACTCTCGTCCTTTGCTTTACTTTTACGACTTTCTGCTGCCAACCACTGCCTCTTTTCCCGCCGGGGGATTAAAAGAAACGTTCCTGCCCTGCGATTTCCATCCAACCGCACTCTCATGCTCGAAAACACCGCTTGAATGAGCCGCGAATCCCTCCCGCACCATCTGCTGCCTGTTTAGGCAACCTGACGCAGCAGCAGTTCACAAACCCAACTGGAGGCTTGAAGCCCTATTGGGGAGCCAACCTTTGGGGACAGGGCACGATCGTCGGGGTAAGCGTGCATGCGTAAGGGAGCGCGCGCATGTTCCCTTTTTTGCGGTCTCGGTGAAGGCCGGCACACACCGACTGCTCCAGCGGCTGATGACACCTCCCGGGGACAACACTTGTGTTTTTATGCAACACGAACCAAAGGGGAACACGTGCTCTTTCACGCGTTTGCTACACTTGACATGGGTTGGCAGCTGCAGAGCAGGTAGGCTATAACTCCTCCTTTCATACGCACCAACGTATCTAAAACAGGTGACGGACCAGGGCCTGGACATGTCCCAATGCTATTTCATTGATGACAAGTACCGCCCAGGCAGCCTTCGCTCCATGTTCGTGGGCAATCCGCCTCGCCTGTACCTGCCGAACCACCGAAAGGTCGTCCAGTACGTCACCCCCGAAACAACTGGTGCGTGAGTATGTTTGTGCGTGCTTGCATGTAGTATATGCGTAGCCAGCATCAGTAATAGCCGAGTACGACTTCTACGGTTGCTGAACTACGATGATGGAATCGGTAAGTGCAGCGCCAAGTAGGGGCGTTTACCCAAAACAACGTTGTTCATCATTAGCTCGCCAATCTCAGCGATGCGATCCAGCTACTGCTGGTAGTTTTGCTGCTAGAAACACAAGACACTGCAAGACAACCGGCCGCTGCTGATGCTAGCGTGCTTAAGCTAAACACTACTCGCTCCGCTTGGTGGCTAATGCAAGCGGGGGAGTGGAAAACACACACGCATACACGTACATTTGCATTCCCCACTTCCCCACCACAGGCACTGGCTGGTTCGGTGCTAGCGACCAGAGCCACGGCACCCACGTGGCGGGTTCCATTGCCGGCGCCATACTCAACAGCACAGGAGGCATCATGCTAGATGCCGGTACTGGCGTCGCGCCGATGGCGCGCATCAGCTTCTTCGGCACGGCCTCACCACGGTTATCTGCTCCTTTGAAAATACCTTCTCCAGTGGACGACAAGATACTCTCGGTCAGTGGTTAGGGGCTAGGTCTGGAAGGTGCTAGGCAGAGGGTGGGTGTAAGGCAGGGTGGTGACCGCATCCATGACCCACGTCATCTGGGAACCCTATCGTACAGTGGTGTCGTACCGTCGTACGTACCACGTGAAGAAGGCGAAGTTGCTTTTTAGAGATATTGATAGCATTGAGACGCGGATGGACTTAAACGGGTAGTCTTGCAGGGCTCATGCTCATGTTGGCTCTCGACCGGGCGATCTGACGGGCAGTCCAGTAGTAGTAAATGTAAAAACTTGTAGTTATGTAAAAACTTGTTATCGGTTTCCACAAAAGCGTAGCTTACAGCGAAACTAAGGTCTCCTGCGTTCGACTTGCTAAACGACCATGTCAGTTGGATGTCGTACAATGTACGACGAAGCCGATTGGCCTGATACTTAGTGCTATGTCTTCCGTTGTTGTTCATCTCGAGAGCTTTCTGTTAGGTCTGACACCGCCGCGTCATGCTGCTCCAGACTACAGCACCCCCTGGTGCGAGTTTCAAGGTGGCCATGACTCCACCTCTCCCATCCCCAGCCCCATAGCATAGAAAGGGATTCTTTCTCTGCTTGCCAGTGCTGGTAGCCTTTTCGTCAAGTCCCCGTCTTATTAGCGACGCGGGATGCAATGCCGGAAACCTTTGCACCAAGCCCTGTCTCTCTATATGTCCCTTCCTTTTGCCCCGGCATCAATTTCCGCTTTCATGAACATACCCGCATTACATGCAGTACCATTACGGAGTTGGCGCTCGCATCAGTTCGGAAAGCTGGGGCCGCTCCAGCGCACTAGGAGTGGCTTATACCCTTACATCGAGGCAGTTCGACGCATTCGCATGGCGCAACCCCGACTTTGTGTCAGTCATTGCCGCTGGCAATAACGGTAAGGGCCCTCCGCTATGTCGAAAACACGTACTCACACACACACATGCATATGTATAGTCACACAAACAAACACTGAAGGTAAATTAGAAGCAAAGAGGGGTTCGGGGTGGGGAGAGTGGTAGTGTACGATCAGAGGGAAGATCTACGATTGGTAAGCTGTTGCGGGTGATGAAAAGCATCCTCTTTTTCTTTTTCAGTGTCCGTTTTGTGTGTGTGTGTGTGTATTCATGTGTGTGTATGTGTGTGTATATGTGTGTGTATGTGTGTGTGTGTATATGTGTGTATATGATCCGCTAGATTTGGTTGGATGCTGGTGGTGAGTTGCCGAACCCAACGAATACATTCTGAAGTCGGATGGGGTGACGGATTAGGGTACCCCTCTAGCAGGGGAGAGCAGGGACTGCCCGGGAAAGGGGCCGCTGGCGAAGTTAACCACCCTGTAACAACAACCATATGTGTGTGTGTGTGTGTGTTTGCTTTTCGTCGAGTTCCAAGACGGGGTGACCATGAATATATACAACAAACTTGCTTGGCAACCCTTTGACTCAGTATCAGCGGGTTTTCAATGGCAGACCTATTGATATGACATTGCTTATGCATAGTAGAGTGTTTATTTCTTTTCTCATTTTTTGGGGGCTTCTGTGTAGCTGGTACACAGTACGGCACACATACCATCCGCCGATATTTCTAATATTTCTAATATTTCTAATATTTCTGATATTTCTGATATTTCTGATATTTCTGATATTTCGTCGCCCCTGAATACCACTCTGCAGGTGCCAATGGAATGATGTCCATCGCTGCGCCCGGCACATGCAAGGTGATGCGGAATGTTGTCTGGCCCGACGTACATCAGGCATGCCATACATGCCATACATCACCTCTGCCGTCGTCGTAGACATGAGACATTTTCCTTCCAAACGCATTTTCAAGTATGTGCAAGTTCCTTTTTTGTTGCTTACAATTGTTGCTCCTTGTCTGCACCATGGTCCGCGCGCTTTGCTTGCGCCATCTGTTCACAGAACGGCATTACCGTTGGAGCAACCGTCAACTACCCACAGAATTCTACCATCGGTAGCTTCAACTACATGTTTTTTATCCGATACCGCGACGCCGGTGGAACCAGAGTTGACATGCCGGTACGCAATGTAGATCCACTCGACCAGTCTGCATGATTGTGTAGGATGGGGGGTTTTGCTTCACCCGTGGCCACTATTCTGACAGCCCCTTGTCACGCTAAAACATCTGGACCGCACGAATTATGTGCCACGAGCGAGTTAGCCTCTATCCGCAGTGATCCATCCGCATTTCTTGTGTCTGTTAGCACGCCATATGGCGTGGCACCCTACCACCTATACCTATATTTCTTGCCTATACTTTGGGGCACCCTCATCATCAATCCTTGCACCCATGTTTACCGACTTCTTCGAAAGCGTTTCACTTAACCGGGTTCCCCAGCACCAGCACCAGCACCAGCACCAGCAGCACCAGCACCAGCACCAGCACCAGCACCAGCACCAGCACCAGCACCAGCACCAGCACCAGCACCAGCACCAGCACCAGCACCAGCACCAGCACCAGCACCAGCACCAGCACCAGCACCAGCACCAGCACCAGCACCAGCACCAGCACCAGCACCAGCACCAGCATCAGCATCAGTGTATACGTAATCAGCCGGACCAACAGCGGTGACCACTCCACTCCTGTGGGCTCGCCGATCATGATCATCACCGGTCAAGACGTAATCAGCCGGACCAACAGCGGCGACCACTCCACTCCTGTCGGCTCGCCGATCATGATCATCACCGGTCGAGGGACTCTTACCCCGCACCTTGTCGGGATCGATCCTGGAATCTTTAGGGACACAATGCCGTGCATCACCTGTAGCATCCTTCCCCTTCAGCTCTCAACCATTTCTGGTTCTCCCTGATTCGCGTTTCTTCTGGAATGCTTTGCAGCTGTGGCCTCAAGCCGGAACGGACATCAGCTTCTGGAAGGCGTTTCTCGCCAACAAGGTTCGTTGTTTGCTGAATGTATGCCTGCTGTCCATTTTTTGGCCTGCAACTACTCGCTGATGGCATTGCAACCTGCCACTGCAGCTACTACTGCTGCCACGGCCACGGCCATGGCTGCTGGTGTCATTCGTTTGCCATTTGGAGCTGCGCCTTGTGTTGAGTTTAAAAACTGCTATTAGGTGCAACACCTATGGTGTTCACTTCTCACAGTTTTACAATTTTTACGATGATGAAAGTACTTCCCTGTTTTTTGGTTTACCGCCTTGCTGGCTGGTGCACATGTATGTACACACATGTATGTACACACATGTACACACATGTATGTACACACATATATGCGGTTGGACACGTTACAATACGTACGTATGGCTGGTTGTCCCGCCCATTGCAGGAGGTTCCGGTGCGCCTTCCCAGCCCGGAGAACGCATGCACGCCGCTGCAAGGCAGCTACGCAGGCAGTGTTGTAATTGTGGACCTGAAGCAGACCGCCTGCACAAACACCACAATTGCGTTCAATATCGTCAAGGCCGGTGCGGCTGCCATCCTGTTCGTGCACCCGGACAACGTATTTGTTGAGGCCTCCATGTATTTGAAACCTACTGGGTTCGCATTGCCAACAAATTCCCTCATATCCAGGGTAAGCAAGGTTCTTCCTTTGCGGTCTCTTGCGCCTCCAAACTCTATTTGGCTACCTTGATATTGGGATGATGACGGTGTAGAAGCTATATATGTGGGTGGGTGATAATTACTACTGCATGCAAGTGTTGTATCCGCGACTATGTACTGGCTAATGATAATCTGTATCATCAGCTCGCGAGTCCTTTCCTGGCAAGTCACAAATGAGCCTTTCCAGCAGTATGCGGCGGTGCGGCATTGGTCACGGTCCGTAATTGATATTAAACTTTAGTATTTACACGCCCAGCGGCATGGACGGATGCGCATTGTCATGTAACGCGGATTGTGCTCACCGTCGCGCTCGCTCGCAGGCCCAAGGTTTAAGGGTAATTGACGCCTTGAAGAATATCTCGAATTCTAACTTCTCCGCGACAAGCGTCGACTACGTAAGTACAGCGGTAACGAACTTCAGTATAAAAGGTTCAGACCTGACGTAGGACGAAAGCTGGTTGTACGTGATGCGTTCCTTTGAGGTTGATCTTTTCATTTTATAGCTTTATATTTCGCATGCCATGCATTCTTGTCCTTTTTATAGCCTTTCCGTTTATTAATGCGTGTTTGCCCCTAGCTTTAATTTCTTTCGAGAAGTATCGTTATTAATACGTTTCGTGCTTGCGTGCTTACGCTTCTTCTGTCCTTGTTTCATCTACACATGAAACCGTGCGTGCGTGTGTGCGCGAACCCTCTTCTACTGAACTAAAACTCGACCCATGTCGCAGCCCATCATTAACCTAGGCATCGACAGCATCGCGCAATTCTCCGGAACTGGTCCACTCTATGACGGACGCATTAAGCCTGACATCGTGGCGCCCGGTACTGGGATCGTCTCGGCGTTTGGCTCATATATGTATGAGGCTGCGACAGGTAGGCGGAAGGCAGCAGTACTAGAACTTGTAACTTGTAACTTGTAACTACTGCTGCGTGAGTCGGCCTCACCCTGGCCCTACGTATGTATGTTGTTACAGGGTGGTTAACTTCGCCAGCGGCCCCCTTTCCCGGGGCAGTCCCTGCTCTCCCCTGCTAGAGGGGCACCCTAATCCGTCACCCCATCCGACTTCAGAGTGTATTCGTTGGGTTCGGCAACTCACCACCAGCATCCAACCAAATCTAGCGGATCAACGGCGCATCAACTTAGTTCCTGGTCAGCTCGCAAGTTGATATTATCACGTCCTACATCGTCCATATGATGGGGGGCCACCTCCCATTTCATCACTCCTCAAACACCCGAGGAGCTGGCAGGCGGATTTGAACCCGGGTCGACTGGGTCGACTGGGAGCAGAAGTCAGGCCTTAACTTCTGCCAGCCGCCTGCCATACGTATATATGCAGAATCTGCATTGAAAAAATGATCATAACATAAACATTCGCGAACAGCAGGCGTTGCAGTGCAGCTGCGAGCCTCACGGAACGAACGAATCCCGTATGTTTCACACGTAAAAAGCTTCGTGACGCCTGATCAAGCCATGTATTCAACCTCAACAATTTCTGGCCACAATATGGAGCTTTTTGACATGCGTTATCGATATGGATGAACGACGTAATAATAAGGTTGTGATAGGACTTATTGTAATTTAGTATTTGTTCCAAGTCCGGCTGCCGACCCAAACTATTAGGGTGCATTTCCAGTGCGGATTAAGGAGAATTAAGGCCAGGGATTAGGGCACGGAAGTCCTTGGTACGAGCTTACCACATAGTTTTGTTCCATAAGGGAACCAAAGGTTGAAAAGGCGAGGTAAGTTTGCCAACAACTTAGCCGTTTGAGCAAGTATCGATGGAGGACAGAGGGTTAATCCCTGGCCTTTATCCGCACTGGAAATACGCCCTTATTCATGTTTTGTTTGGCCAACTGCAATGTCCCAAACTTAGGACGGTCCTGTGGGATTATGATACTTGTTCATACGTATGCATGTGGCCTGCTTCTGTGTTCTGCTTGCAGCTTCCACCTGTGACCGCAAGACGTTGAAGATGTCGGTAAGCAATCGCTCCCTTGCGTCGTCCGACCCTGCTGGCAGTTTCAGCTCTTGATTGTCGCGTGTGCAATCGCTCGTGCAAACCCATGCATGCATTTTGTATTGGATGGTGCCATACATGGCATGTGTATGCACGTACACACGTATGCAGCACAGTCAACTCGTAATGTACGGCGGGGCTTGAATGACTTGGCTTGGCTGCATGCGTGCGGGGGGTAGGAACTATAGTTAATTTGTGGGACGACCCTGTCGCAAGAATTGGCTTGGGACGACAACTAGATTGCTCTGGTGGGTGGTTAATGTTGGGCTGGGGGGCCGGGGCCAATCCGCTAGATAGCTAGATTGCGCTCTGGTGGGGGGCCCTCATCACCAGCAATCTAGGTATCGTTGTCCGTTGTAGTTAGGTTGGGTACTCAAAAGCTTGTGTGACAGACGGAGTGTAGCAGGTGGCCTCTGAAAACGCCTCTCACGATTCTGACAGTTCACATCGGCACGTATTGAAAAACCCTCATGAAAGCTGCACCCGCCGCCACTTCCCATACATTGCGCACGCACGCCCATGGGCCCCCCGGCTTTTACGGACACACCCGCACTTGCGTGCGGAACTTGTAACTTGTATTGCACGCACCAGTTCCAAAGTGGCAAGCAACGACACGTTTGGGTGGGCTATCAACCAGATGTGGCCAAGCCTTAATGATGAATCGTATTAACCTGGCCAATGGTCAGTACTAGTCCAGCACGTGTGACACTTACACCTACACGTCCCCTTCGGCGGAAAGGGAAGCTGACGCTGCTGATTGTAGTATCCAGGGTATCACGGGATCTGTCATCCGCCGATCGGTTCTTTCCTGCAGGAAGACGTGATGCAACACTGATGGATGTTCCCTGTCCTTGCGTGCATATTGCACCTCGGCCGCCGGCTTGCCATGCAGGGTACGTCGTCATCTACACCTCTGGTGTCAGGCCACCTTGCTCTCGCACGTCAGTACTTTAGGTGGGTAAGGCTGGGTGCGGACGATCTACCCTACCTTGCGTGGCTAAGTTTAGCCATGCACGCGCATCTCAAACTGGTACTACCCATTGTTGCTCCTGCATGCTGTTTGAGATTGCCAAGCAAGAGTGTATGTCTGTCCTTGGTATTAATTAACGTGCGTTCTCGTGCGTTTGCTTGAGGGCCTGATGAACAGTCTTTGACTGGAGTTGGGATCAATGGTCCGTTCGAGTCAACTCCAATGCCATTTTATTTACTGCTGAATTTTGAGGTAATTTTGCGATGAAGTTCGAGATGGAGTATAATTTTAGTATGGGTAGCAATCTGAATGCATGTTTTCATGTTTGCCGTTTTTATTATGTCGTGTCTATGACGACGACAGGGATGGGTTCTACCCGTCTGGGAGCGCCTCAGACCCCTTGTCGATTCCATTCGAGCCGTCGGGCATGCTTCTCAAAGCGGTCGCCATCACTGGCGCAAAATCTCTGGCGGTAAGCAGGCTTGCAATGGCTCGTGCGCCGGTCTGGCACGAGGCGGACTACTGTATAGCCATGTGCTAGCTATTAGCAATGAATATCCACTGTCAGGACGGCCAGTGAATAGCTATTGGTGGCGATTGGGCCGGAGTCAGGTCGCCAAATGTATTAGATAGAGCTGATGTAGTAGCTGGCCGCTGAAAAGGCCCCTCGAGATGCTGGTGAAGCGCTTAGCGCGTATTTGTAGACGTTATGTGTGCCATACTGCAGTATGGTACACAGCTGTGTACCAGCTACTACAGCGCTGTAATAGAAATCATGAATTATCGTCATTATCGCCTAGGAAACCCCCCGTTCACCCACGCAGACAAGCTGTATTGCCGGATCAGGGTTTCCCCATTGCAGCGGCTGGCCGCTGAAATAGCTTATTAAATAAGATGCTGGTGGAGCGCCTAGACGATTTGTGTGACAGTACTATCTACAGCTACTGCACCCATGCATGGCCCCACCATATTCCCCATTATTGCCATTGCACGATCTATTACGGAAAAGAGGGACAAAGAGTGACAATTTGAGTGACCCATTTCCCAGAAAATTTGCACAACCATCATTGCTGACTGCTGGATGATGCTGACTGCTGGATCCCTGTTTTGTTGATGTCAATTGCAGGGCGGCCTTGCGACGAACGTGGGGAGCGTCATGGGTCAGGCGCCGGACGGCCTGCAGGGCTGGGGCCGTTTTGACCTGAGCAGCGCCCTACCGCTGGTGGGCTTCACCAATCCGAACTTCCGCATTGCAGTCGCTGACTACGGAACAATCCAGGATGGCGAGATGATCTATCTGCCGGGAATCCGCGCGACCGGCACCGGGTGAGTGCGTGTGCTATGCGGGCATGCATGGTTGGTTGGCTAGTTGCTTGCGCTAATAGTCAGCTTTTTCTAAAGCTATCAGGATACCTCCAGATTGTGTGCAGAAAGCCAGCTAATAAGCTCTTGATGCCGGACCGGACTGGATCTATGATGAAGCCATGGAAGCGATTGCGTGCGTTCGTAACTCTAAATGCATGTAAACGAACGCTGTAGGTGTACTTATCTGTCACATGCTATCTGTCCTCATTTGTTCTTGTTCCAATTTTTTGCGTTAAGGAATAAATAAACTGTACAGGAAGATGGCAGAAGAAGAAGTTATGTTCTTATGTTTGCATCACCAAATTCGACTTGACCACTTTGCGAATATTTCTGCAGCAAAAAAAAACAAAATAGAAAAGCCTACCTAGCTAAATTCCACCAAATTTCGTTCTCCTGTAGTTAGACCCCTTCAGGACCGGCAAAGTTGTTACGAAGAGCAGGTTGCTTTCTCGCCTGAACCTGAACGATTTTCGTAAGCAGATTAGAAAAGCAGCACTAATAATTCTTGTTCTTGGTAAGGGTTCCTATGCCCATGTTTTTTTCGGTTTCCTTACTGACATATATGCTTCTGGTAACGAGCAACCATTGCCCCCGGGAGATCCCAGGATCGATACCTGTATAGGGTCAAAAATCTATCCAATGGTGGAAGGTATTGCGCCCCTAGTTGATGGACGGTGGTGACCTGGGATAAAGTTAACTTGCGAGCCGACCAGGAATGGAGTTGGGCCGCTGTCGACCCGGCAGATTCCGTTGGATGCTGGTGGTGGGTGCGGAACCTGAGCGATCCACTGAGAAGTTGACTAGGGTGACTGGATGAGGGTGCCCCGAAATACCGGGGAAGGCAGGGTTTCTCAGGGTGCCACGGGCGAAGATATAACCCCCTGTTTCACACATCATATATGCTATATGCATAGGTTTTTGACCTTTTTTCAGCAAGTATCTGCACGTCCTTACTACATCTCCAAAAAAATTCAAAATCGTTCCTAGCTTAAATTTTCTTATTAAAATTTTTTTATTTTCTAGCGCGATGTCACATACGGCTTGTTTTCTTCAGGCCCATCATCGCCACGCTGGTTTGGCACGATTATCCCGGAAGCGGCATGACTACACGCGACCTGATCAACGACCTCGATTTCGGCTACCTGATAAACTATCCGATAAACTACCCCATCAGCCCCCAGAACATGACTAGAACCTACAACCGGACGCGTGCAGGTGAGTTTCGGGCACGTGGGCAAGTCCAGCTCCGTTCTGCAATGACTATACATTTGAAAATGATGAGCTACCTCACGCACCATACCATATTCATTGTAAGGTACCATAAATGGCGTTGAATATTTCCGCTGCTGGATGATACCATACCTTTCCGCTTTCCTTGTTTCTTTTCCAAATTCGACACTGCTATTCAAAAGCTGATCGCGTTTTCGGCGTACGACCGCGTCCCGTGATTGCGAAGCGGCTTTCTTAAGGAGGCTGGGTTTGGTTTGCCCTGTAGTAGCTGCCCGCCTGCCTATCTGCTGCCTGCATCCTTGCGTACCTGCCTGCCTGTGCGTGCATCTATCTCAGCTACAGGAAGATGAGACCTTGTTTTCTTTCCTCGTTTTTCCCCTCTTGTCATTACTTCGCAGACAGCGTCAACAACGTGGAGCGCGTGGAGCTCTATAACCTGCAACCGCGTGACAACGTAACGTTCGTGGTTCACGGTCGCGCCATCCGTCACTCGTTGCTGACCACACCCGACGCGCAGCGGCCGCAACGCTGGTCCGTCTTGGTGGCAGGTCACTTCACGGGCACGCTAAGGACACCGCTCAACCCGGTGGTTGCCCGTCCCGTACGCGTGCCGGTACGTCCTCGTTCTCCTCTGGCACCTGAGGATTTCCGCCGACGGGCGTAAAAGTGTGTTGCCTGTCGCTGTTTGCTCGTTGGCTTTTTGCACTTCAGGCGGGCAACATGTTGATCCAAACGCCGAATGGCACGTGTCTGACGATCCGGGGTATTTCCCTGTTCTTTGACCCCGCGGCGAGTGCATGCAACTCCACTGCAGCGGTCTTCAACTTCATTGAAGAACCAGGTTTGTACACGACAGCTGTCACCAGTAATGTCTGGCGCCTCTTAGGAGTGTGACGGGTGTGTACACGAGTGCTGCTCTCTCTTTCTGTAGCAGCTGGCCGCTGAAAAGGCCTCTCGAGATGCTGGTGGTCGCGCAACGCGCGTATTTATAGAGCCGTACTGTGTACCTGCTGCTCTCTCTTTCGCACCTGCCTACCACACCTTCCTCCCCTGTCCTTGGCTCATCTTGGTTACGGATGGCACCATGTTCTTAACGAAGCATGCATTTAACTGTTTGACGAGACAAAGAACAGCTGTAGAGAGCCATGTGCCTTTTTTTATGTCTATTGTTCACGGATCATTAAATGATTACGTAGGTAATGGCTGTGTGGCGTCGCGTAATTACCTGTCCCGCCGAGTATATATGGAGCGTTGTTGCGATATCACGTCTTTTTCAGAAAAGAACCGATCGGCGGATGTCAGATCCCGTGATAACCAGAATACTACAAGCGTTGCATGTAGTGGTTTTCATCGCCAAACTTTGCACGCACACGTGTATATGTAGCCCTGGAGATAGATGAATCACATGATTTATTACCTTTTCTTAAGGTGGTCCTCCTCTTCCATCATATGCGGCTGCAGACAGCACCACGGGCGGCTACCTTTACAGGATTCGCGAGTCTGTGACGGGCCGTTGCCTGGCACTGGGAAGCGGTAATATCGGCTTCTGGCCGCAGCTTGGGCCCTGTGGCTCCCTAGTGGCTGGCCAGAAGTTCATGGTGTTCGCCAATCCCAACCTTCCTGACGGGTGAGTGCAGACGTTCCCCGAGTGCCGACACCCCACTACTTTCAGGGGGCGGAAGATCTCACAGCTGGCGTTGGTTTGTCTTGCTGGTCTCCCAGTATGGCATGGGCCCTGATTATTATTATTTTGGATCCAGGTATTTGGATCCAGGTATTTGGATCCAGGGAATATGTCTACGCTGCGTATCCGTTAAAATGACACAGTGGCGTGGCGGGCATGACTGGATTTGCAGAGCGCTTTAGCGCGTTTGTAATGGCGACGTATGTGGCGAACTGTACGACGACAGGTGCAAACAATCACCGTGCACACCGTACTCCGTAGGTTTGCGGCATCGTGTTCATAAAGCGCAGCAATAATGCCTAAATACGTGGCTCAATTTTCAGCCCATTTCAGCGTTGCAATCTGCCCATGATCTTCTAATAGCTGCGGCTGAGTAGTGATGATGGTGCACTCATACGCACCTTGACCACACATGTCGCAATGCAGGCCATTGTACCAGATCGTCCCGGAAATGAACCTGAGCACCACCATAGACGACCGCCGCTGCCTGGGAGCTGCTTTATCCATTCCCCGGCTGTTCATTGGTTGCGACGATGGCCAGATGATGTCGTTCCGCCTGGTCCGCCCAGCGTCTGTAACACCACCGTCACCACCGTCACCACCGCCACCACCGTCACCACCGTCACCGTCAGTTCCCACACCGGCTGTCCAGGACCCCCCCCAGCTGTGGTACCCCTTCCCGCTGACTTTCCGCGTGGACTTCTACCCCGTCACAAGTAAGTCTGTCTCCGGATATCGCGAAGCCTTTTAATCTGTCTGCTGTGATGTGTGCACACTTGCTTATTATAGTAAGTTATTTCTGTTCGAGTCATAAGGAACAATTATCGTGATGTTCCCTGATTAAGCTCAGCACATTAAGGTTGTACGGCACCCGAACTCCGTTTGCAGTTGACGACGCCAACCACTACGACTACGACTACAACATTTTGGGCAGCAGCAGTCTGTACAATCTGGACTTGAAGGTGGCATGGACCTGGAACGGAACAGATAATATTGCCGGCCTTGGCAACTACATTGGCTCTGTGGACGCGGCTTCAGTAGCGGGCGCTGTACACGGCGGTGACAACATCATGTACGGCACCATGTACGAAGAAGTTCACTGGCAGCTGGGATACACGCCCCCGCCCACCACCTACTACGTTTGCGTAGCCTGGCGGACCTCGGCAATTATGAATCAGCTGCGTGTTACCTTAACGGTATTCAAGAACAATCCTGTCGCGACTCTTACAAAGATTGTTGATACGGGATTGTTCAACATTGATGGCAACACTTGCTCGCCGTCGTCCGTGGGCTACATCGGCAGCTACGACCTCAATTCGCCGCCGTCTCTGTCAGCACCGTCACCGTCACCGCCGCCGCCACCGGTGAACAACATCTACCCGCTGATGTTCAAGGCAGATTGGCTAGTGCTTTCCGGTGTAACAGGTGGGTTAGAACCAGTGTACTGCTGGTGTACTGCTGGTGTACTGCTGGTGTACTGCTGGTGTACTGCTGGTGTACTGCTGCCAACACGCACCTTACATCTAAAAGATGACTTTTGCCTTTAACAGGTAGGGATGTGGCTGGCTTGCACTGGCAATCCTTCCGGGTTCCGGTCGTCACCGGCTGAAAAAATCACATTTTCCAGTGCTGCTTATGCCAACGTTTCTCCCTCCCTCCCTTCCTTTCTCAATAGGTCGTGGGAATACACTTATCGACATGGACATCGTCGTCTCTTGGACCAATAGAAGCATCACGTACGAGATCAGCTACGACTTTCCAAGCAACGGTGGTGGCAAGTACGGCGGCAGTAGCTGGGATCAGCGTATCAACACTGAGAACATCTTTTTTACATCAAACCCGCCGCAAACCAGATATGATATTTGCCTGCGGGCTTCGGCCTGGGAAGAGAGGAAACCGGTGTTACAGGCCACCGCGGTCGTAATGCGGTTTAACAGTATCGTCGCGACGTTTGTACGGAAATTGGATATGACACCGCCTATGGACGGCATGTGCAACAGCAGAGCTGCAGGCTATCTGGGCAGTTACACGCTGGGACAGGAGCTCATACCCTCGCCGCCTCAACCCTCTCCAAGGCCTCCCTCGCCACCTTCACCGTCACCCCCACCGCTTCCGCCACAGCCACCGTCACCGCCGCCAACCCCTACACGCATACCGCCATCGCCAAGACGTCCACCACCCCCACGGCCGCTGCCTCCATCACCTTCTAGGTCACCGCCTCCAAGGCCATCACCCTCGCCTCCAAGGCCACCGCCGCCGCCACCATCACCATCGCCACCATCACCATCGCCGCCATCACCATCGCCACCATCACCATCGCCACCATCACCAACGCCGCCATCACCATCGCCACCATCACCAACGCCGCCATCACCATCGCCACCATCACCATCGCCACCATCACCAACGCCGCCATCACCATCGCCACCATCACCAACGCCGCCATCACCATCGCCGCCATCGCCATCGCCACCATCACCAACGCCACCATCACCATCGCCACCATCACCAGCGCCGCCATCACCAACGCCACCATCACCATCGCCACCATCACCAACGCCGCCATCACCAACGCCGCCATCACCAACGCCGCCATCACCATTAGCGCCGCCATCACCCTCGCCGCTGCAGCCTTCGGAGCTGTCAACACCACCGCCACTGTTGGCCCCCCGACTGCGACTGCAGCCACCCCCTACGCAGCCAGCATCGCTGTCCCCCCCGACTATGCCGAGCCCCTCAAATCCCACTTCACGTCCCCAATCTACAACAGAACCCGAACAGTTGCCGGGCTCCTCACCATCACCGCCTTTGAAGCTCCCGCCTCCGCTGCTCTCGCCTCCTCTTCCATCCGGCGAGACGTGGCTAAAGTGCCCAGACCCTCTTCCGTTTCCAAGCAGCCTAGTAACCCTATACTTCTGCGTGGCGTGGTTTGACAGCAAAGGTACGGTATCAGTGTTTAAACCTCTAGATGTATATGAAAATACCACTGGCCAGACAAACTGTCTCCATTGCGGCCGGGGGCTGCAACGAGAGGGGTCCGACGCTCTCTACCTCAGATAAATCACAGCCCTACTAAATTTACTTCTCCAGTTCAACTTTATTTTGTATTCCGTTGCTTGATTAGGAAACGACCTACGAGTTAATGCTGGTTAATGCTCCAGGCCATTCAGTATTTATCAGTCAGGATTTCTATATATATACTGCACATAGGTGCTGATGATTTCAATTACATTTATTCAATAATAATGTGCTGGAGTAGTCTGCCCATTTAACGTGTTCGACCTGACGTAGGACTATTGTACTGATTATTTTCCGCTCTTCGTTTGTCAAACGGCCGCCGCCGGAGCTTCCACGCACTGAGATTATTATGGCGTTGTTCAAATCTGAGTCATGATTATCCTTTTGAAGGAAAAATTTGACCTGCGCGTGTGTGTGTGTGTGTGTGTGTGTGTGATTGCGTGTTTCCCTAGTTCCCGAACTAACGGTCAGCAGGGTCCGGCTTCGAGGCGTCTGCCCGCCAGACCAACGTGGCACGAACGTTCGGCGGTTGATATTTTATACTTTTTATTAATAATATTATGTGAATTGCTAGAGAGTGTATGTAATACATAAGAGTATTGATATATAGCTGCGCTCCGAAACTCTCCGGGTGTCCTCATGCACGTGTGCTCAAAGGCCCGGCCGCCACGGCGGCGTACGATTGGGACATGGTCGTGGCTTGGACAGACAACGAGCAGACGTACGAGGTAAACTCAATTGTTAACAGTACTGGCGGTGCCGTGCACGGAGGCGACAACACCAATCTAGCCGGCAATCCAAACGCAGAGGTAAGTGGTTATTACTTCAATGAAAAGTCGCCTTGGGTGCAAGATGCAATGCACGAAGCAGATCTAGTGGATTCACGGCATGATGAACAGAACAATTCAATTTTTGGAATTTTTTTTACTACATGTGGCGTACCCCCCCGCCCCTGATGCAGGTGGTGTTCTGGCCTAATGGCCTCGCGGATGTGAGGCCCGATGACTACCACGTCTGCGTGCGGTGGTATCAGCCGGGGGCTCTCAACGTAACGCTCACGGTTTCTCTGGGCCCTACGGTGGTTCAAACCGCATCAGCTTATTGGACGAGCAACACCTTCTTCAGCAAGCAATGCAACCCGGATGCCATCGGATACGTCGGCAGTTACACGTTCACGGGCCGCGGCTAGGTAGACTACATAGCAGTAATGGACGCGCAAACATCAACATAGCTCAATACAACGCACCAAACAATTTCGCGTTCCTTACAAAAAATATATGTTTTACTTCCAGGAGGCTCGAGGGGGCGTTATTTGAAGGCATTATGTCTATGTTCGTTTGGGCTGGGCAGCTGCTTTCTAGTGTACAGCGAGGGAGGGCCTTGAGGGTACTCAAGCTGCAGCAGTAGTAGTTGTATATGTTTGACGAGTAGGACAGCATTCAGTCAGCAGCAGGCGCGTGTCGCAACTGGCGAACGAATTGATGTTTCGATGAGCTTATATGCTTGATGCATTACGGATAGCGGCTCTCAGCAAGATGCACATTTCGACATTCACCGGGACGTCGCTGTTTAAATATGCTGCCCATCGCGATTCCAGAGAACGATACAGGATGTTGTCGTCGGTGCGAGCCGCTGGTATACCAGCGACGCCTGGGTGGCTGCGTAGCTACCAGCAGGAAGATAGCTCGCAGCAGCGCCACCATTTAGATAGCGATGGGGCTCGCTTTCCGACCTCCTTTCTTGTCGTTCCCGCCTCCTGTATCATTGGTGCTATACAGTTGATTCGTATACAGTAGATTCGTACGACTGTCGCTGGGTTCCGTTAGAGCTAACCGCAGTCGTCGCAGGGTGGCAGGCAGCTGTCGTCGCCATACATGGTATATAGACGAGGATAGTCTGAGAAGAGAGGGCTAATGCTGCCAGGCAGGCAAGCTGACGCGAAGGCAGCACCGGGCGGGCAGGATGGCTGGCAGGATGGGCAGCTAGATGGACAAGCAAGCATGCAAATCTTGCACTACTCATCAAGCACATTCACGAACATGCACACGCAGGCAAGGCACATACATGTCACACCTCAGGAATGCCGGGGAATTTATTGATTCTGACTCCATTAGTAGTTCATTCCCATTAAATCGCTGTTGTTTATTTCGTGTCTTCACGTTCAGGTCCTTCCCTGCTGCTGTGCATACATAGTCGTCAAGGGTTACATACATACAGTATCACATCAACAGGGCTTTATCTTAAATAGGAATGGATTATGATCATGCTGGATTGTAATGCCTCTACGTTCGTGGAAATTAGGTGTTGGAGAGTGATCAGCACTCATGTACTTACTTCCGGGTTTTGTGAGGAGTAGTTAGTCACTACGCACGGCCGCGGCCTGCCTGGGTAGCCCAGTTCTTGGGGCGCTTTTCCTCCACTACACTCACTAGAAAGTCATCCACGCATGCGCCCTGGATAGAGCAGAGCCTTGTAGAGTTCCAACCGCGTCCGTCCGTCCATAACGCGTGCAACAACGAAGTAAAATAAAGTTGACAGGAACGAGCCCTTGTAGCGGCTGGGACTGCTGCAACGCCTGGGGTTGTATGTTGCTTGAGCACAGCAGGGGTGCTTGAAAACCTGTCAAGTAGTTTCCAGGTAGCAGCGGTACTTTGGAATGGAATGAAGGACGGACCGATGGGGGGGCATCGAGAACTTTTTATCGATGTACCGGATATAATATAGCCCACTGACGGCGTATGTAGGTAACGATGTGGCGATGGTACTGTCATCGCCAACACTAGCAATAGTACTATTGCTAGCTGCGTGCGTGCGTGCGTGCGTGGAGCCAGGTCATCGTAGTTCACCATCATCATCATCAGTGCATCTCATCAAAGGATGCAATACGCAGGCAGGGAAAATGTGCAGTTTGTGTGTTTGGTAATCAATACGGGTGCTAGGCTGGCGCGCGGCTTTATTATTGGATTATAGCTGGCGGCTTTTCTTATCTTAGAATCTTAGTGTCCAGCTCACACTGGATGCATGGTATGTCATTACTAGATAGCCAGCATAGCATTGCAGTGTTGGAAGGGGGGCACGGAATGTAGATTTTGCTTCCAAAGTACAATCGGCGGTGCTGCACTTACAGTGCGTTTGGAGCACGCACGGACCTGCCGGTGGTATAGGTTATTACATGCAACCCATGGCCAGGAGCCACGGCATGCTAGCGCCACGTCCTTATATTTTTCGGCAGGTGGGATAGACAAATTGTTGGTGGAGTTATTGATGATTGCGCTGTGTGCAGTGTAGGATTTTATATCTGTAGAAGACGGTTTGGTTGGCTGCTGGCGAGGAGGAGCTGGCTGCGTGGGACGCCGGAGGCAGGCACGGTGGTCGGTACATAATGCTGGCCTGCTGGCCTGCAGGTGGTTCAGGATTACGGGGCGGGCGTGGCGGACCTTTGCCGTCATGACGACGCCTTCATCATGCACGCTCACTATGGTGGTGTCAGTAAAACCCCCGGGGTTTTTACCAAAGAGCCCGCATCTGTTAGCACGTCATATGGCGTGACACCTTTGGTCGGTCCTTTGTTTACCATGTGGCTGTTGGCTGTGGTGTCCTACACTGGCGATACTAATCAAACATAGTTGTATGTCTATATCGGGGACCGGGGGGTTATATTCATTGTTTACTACCATAACCTTTCCAAGTCCAGTCGAGTGTTCCGGCACGTGCGGGATCCCGCCGGGGCATGCATGCATGATGGATGGCCAGTGAGCTTTCGCGTTACTGTGTCGTCGAAATGGTTTGGTGGATCTAGGTGAAGTGCCGATATGTGTGTGTGTGTGTGTGTGCTAACATGGTTGGGGGTGCGTGACCCCGTACCCGTGTCAATATACATCATCCATCAAAACTTGTTTTTTTTCACTAGCAAACTAAGGGGTCATTATCTTGCGCGTCCTCAACTGCGCTTCGCTTTTCTTTAGGCACTCTATTTATCTTCCTCGATGGGGTCTGGGATCGTTGGTGATGTTTGTGATTTTCGCGGCACCTGCTGAGGCGTCCGATGGTTTTCGGCTGGTTGCGGCTCGCGTGCACCTTTCATTCTTTAGATTCCAGTGGAAGAAGACATATTCATTAAGCCAGAAATATATCTGATATGATCTTGGATGAATTTGCTTCCGCAGCAGAACAGGAAAACGTACTTGCATTGAAGTACCTACCGACGGTATGTATCGGCTGCTGATAGGTATATGCTATGCGCGAATGACCTGAAAGATCAGAAGGATCACTTTTGAATGATGAGAACCAGTACAAGCCGCACCCAAACGCTGTGTAGGCTAGGGGAAGGGATTTAGCAGGGCTGAGGAACTGCAAAAGGCCCGCCAAAAAGAGTTCTAAGCCCCTGCCGCAGATTCAAATCCTAAGAAACAAGGGACTCCTTGGCCAGTAGTAGATTGCCCCTGCAGAAATCTCGTCGCGCAAGGTTGATTTGGCCGGTGGCGCGGGGCTTGATCAAGCGTACCTGATCAAGGCACCTGACGGGGAGAAACAAATAGAAACCTGACTACGTACTTTGTTGCATCACGTCTTCTTCAGAAAAGAACTGATCGGCAGATGTCAAATTCCGTGATACCCAGGATACGACATATATACTAGGGTTTGGCACCACTGGTAAGGCGCGACCATTGGCCCCGGGAGATCCCGGGATCGATACCCTTAAGGGTCAAAATACCTTCCGATGGCGGAAGGCTATGCGCCCCTAGTTGATGGACGGTGGTGACCTGGGATAAAGTTAACCTGCGAGTCGACCAGGAATGGAGTTGGGCCGCTGTCGACCCGGCAGATTCCGTTGGATGCTGGTGATGGGTGCAGAACCTGAGCGATCCACTGAGAAGGTGACTAGGGTGCCCCGGATGAGGGTGCCCCGAATACCGGGGAAGGCAGGGTTTCGCAGGGTAGCTGCCACGGGCGAAGATACACCTCCCTGTTTCACACATCATATATACAAGCACACCTTCGCATGTGCGAGGTGCATGGAATGGATGTCACGGGCTGGCGCGTAGCTGTTCTGTAGATCTTCTCGGGTGTGTCGAAAAAGCGAAATATTCATGCAGCGACAAAGAAAGCAGAGGACTACTGTCTATGACAAAACGAATAGCAGCAGTTGCCCAACAACGAAAAGCAGCTGGACTGAAACCCTCCGAGGAAACCTGCTGTGATCAATCGATTTTGGCCGGTCAGTGGATGGTAGTTGATAGTAGTTGATAGTAGTTGCTGGTAGTTGCTAGTACCGTATACGTGGCGCCGCAGAGCTACTCTACGGCGTTACATCTATGCCTTGCCGAAAATGCATGACGACCGAGGTCCCGATGAGTGATGCATGTCTTCTGCTTCGCGGATACACCATACATGCAAATAACATGCCCGTCCTTTTACAGCAGAAAACTCACCCAATATGTTCGCACCAGATGTCAGCTGTCGATTCGTTTCCATACCATGATGTGGCACATCGAACAAATCCACACACGCAACAGAACCAATACGCAACGGACACGCGCATCTAGTCACGCACGTACTCGACATCTAATTATTGCACGTGTATTTCTACTCGTCATGCACGTACTGGACGACGCCTAGGGCCTCCTCCTGCGGTTCTTCCTGCTGTTCTGTTCGCGACTACTATAGCCGATATCGCTACACAAAAGATTGAAGAAAATTCTTCAATCATCCCTTCCACGAAGGGCATTACAAGGGAGTTCGCCGAGGAACCGAAGATGAGGCGGTTGAGCACAGGCAATATAATCGTCCACCGTAACGTACACATTTGAGCAATGGCCATGCCCGCAACGAAACGACTGCTACCTGTTGCTGCGGTGCATGCACATTCGTGCGACCAATAGCAGACAGCACCGCAGATTCCCTAGGTCAGCTTTTTATGCAGCAACACTATGCAGCGACGCACGTGGATGAGGTGTCCACGACTCTCTACTACAAGGACCACGTTTGTTAGTTAGTTGCTAGTGGATGGTTGGGAAGAAGATCAACCGCCGAGGAAGAGGATCTCCCTGGAGTGAATCGCATCGTGCGCGCACGCATGAACGCTCTGTTCTGACCCGAAGCAAGCCAGTGCCGTACAATGTACGGCTTAGATAGCTCCCGCGAGTCGTCATTGGAACGTGAAATTCTCATCATCCGGTCATACATCATCGACCCGGTCATCACAGTCATCAATATTTCTGAAGCAAAAGCGTGCCATCCAGCTACTTTAACAACCTTAAGCAACAAGCGGAACTAAAATGGCCGCATCTGGCGGTCACACCGCCTGCTGCATACGACGCCTAAAAAAGCAACCAAGCTCTTCCGCTTGGATGAATATATTTCCCTACGCACCTGCAGAAACAAGCTTTACGACGAATCAATGTTCAACTTTGTTCTGCTAGAATATCACCAATGCGAGCCTACACGCACACGTAACATCAACCTATGCACGCACGCTTGCGAGTACGAATCACAGGAGCTGAATATACGCATGTGTACCGTGTTCAATCATTCGGCGAGTCATAATTTTGAGTCTATGGAGATCGTGATAAGCAAGGCAGCAATCTCCTTTCGCGCGCCACTCCGTTATCGCTCCGTGACTCCCCGCATCCCCCCGCATCTGCCGAGAGCCACTCAATGAAAGCCGCAGCTATTGCTTGCTGTTGCTGCTACTGCGGCAACAGATGGCTGCTTCCATCCCGCTGCGCCTGCTACACCTCTCCTGTCTTACTCGCAGCAGCCGACCTCCCATGCCCCGGCAGGTTGCAGCTGCTACTGCTGCGGCGGCTGCGGTGGCTGCTGCTACTGCTGCTGCTGCTCCTGCTACAGCAGCATGTGCACGGCCTTTCCCGCTGCACAGATCTACAGGGCCGCAACACGAGTCATTCGCTGCCGAGAACGCCTCAACTGCATCGCTACGGCCGCAACTATGGCAACGCCTACAAGACCGCCGACAGCGGCCCCTGCGGCAACGGCCACGGAGTTCTTGGCAGAGCCGCTGCCTGACCCACCATTGACGCTACGCTCTGCTGGCAAGCTGCTGGCCGGCCCCTCTGCACTGCTCGCCGCTTCGCCGCCTGCCACCGACACGTCATCCTCAGCGAAGGAACCCGCCGACGACATGCTAGCACCGGCTTGTGTGATAGAGGGCAGGGCCTTTACAGGCTCTACTCTCTCCGTTGAGGCCACATCCACAGAGCCTTTCTGTAGGGTTGACATAGAAGCCGCCTGACCACTGGCCCAGATTGAGCTGACGCCACCAGTTAGGCTCGAACTGTTGATGCCCGTGTATGTGTACGTACCGACATAGCCCGCCACACCCGGCGCACAGATCTTGCTGATAATATCTGAGCTTGACCAAACGGTGGATGTGGTCTTCACCACGTTAGCACCTAGAGAGACGGTGAGGGTCACGTTGAGAATCGCCGTCTGATACCACCGCACGCAGACGTGGTAGTCAGCGGGCTGGGGCTGTTGGCCAGTCACACCTGTCGGCCAGAAGGCGACCTGTAATAGATGTGGCAACATGGAACGCATTCAGTGAGAAAGCAGAGAAAAAAAAGGAAAAACGATTGATTGATGACGGCGTAATTTATTTCATTATGTAGTGAGCGGGGAAAGGCTCCTTGCAACATGTTGTGAAACATCGGTGACGAAATATTGTGACAAAAGTATATGCTTTGGGAGACCAGGCCAAATAGTGGGCTGTACGACTATACGGTAGTAGGTTACGCTTATGGAGAGTCAGCGGGTCTTCTCAAAAGATAGACAACGGTTGCCGTTGCAGTCATTCACGTGCGCACCTCTCCGTTGGTTCTGTTGGCGATGTTAATGTTGTCACCACCATGGACTCCGCCAGCTACAAACCGGTTGTACTGAGCCAGCTCAAAGGAGCTTCCCCCGAAGGTCCAGGCAACGACCATATCCCAGTCGTAAATGACGTTGGTGGCGCCTGAAACAGCGTGCACATAACGACGGAGGACGTGGGCAAATAAATACAGAGCACCTGAGGATCGATGCCCATCCACGAGTCGAGCCCCAACACGGGTCCAAAAAAAACCACATCTGCACTCGACGTCCTTCTCACTCTAATTTTAAACCACATCACTTAGCACTCAACTTACTTCTCGTAGTCAACGACAAAAATAATGATAATCACATTTCATAATCACCCGCAAGCATAATCCACACACTTGGCCGTTGGCCGGCGATGGATAAGCGTCGTTACAGTGGAGCCTAACCCGGTTAGCACACGAGAGAACGCTCCCCCGTGCTGCACATGAATAGAATGCAAAAAAAGCTAACGACACAGGAACATAGAAGACTCCCGGTGCATCAGTGCTACGTACCGCTACTGGGAAACCATCTGGTGCGGAATGTTAAGCCAAAAAGGCTTGCCGTCGACGCCGGGGCACTACAGGCATCTGGCACCGGAGGGGACGGCGGGCTCGGTGGCGTCGGCGAGGGAGGCGGTGACGGCGGCAAAGGCGGAGCCGCCGGTATGTTTGGCATCAGCGGCGGCGCTAGCGGCGGCGGCCGTGGCGGCGCTAGCGGAACCCACGACAGATCAAAGCTGCCCAGGTAACCGCGCGCAGAGGCGTTACAGGCAGTGTTTCGCGGAAACGTCGTGTCGACGATCGTGGTGTTCATGCGGACCAGCTGGCCCTGGTAGAAGACGCTGAGTGTGATCTGCGCCAGCGGCTTTCGTGGTCCGTACCATCGTACACAGACGTCGTACTTGGCGGATGGCGGGATGCGATCCTCCGGCCAGTAAATCAACTCATAGTTGGATCGCTCTTCCATGTTATCGCCGTTGTACCTGCCATCCATATTCACGCGGAGATAATAGCCCAGCTCCTTGTACACATCGAAGTATCGCCAGCTCACCACGAGGTCCATATCCACAGGACGGTTGTTCTCACGGGCTGGAAATTCGGCAAAGGCAGACAGAAGGCGGTGGTTCTCTTTAAGGGCTGTAATCAGAGTCACTTGATGCTTTAGGTAATCCCATCCCGGTGCTCATCATGCGGCACATGGCACACCAACTTGAAGCATCTATCTTCTCTTTTTGTTGGCTCCCTCTCCCTAGCCAGACCAGCGTGTAGGGTACTTTTGTGAACCAAAATGACCCGTCACCCCATTATTTACGCATATTACTTGACATAATTATTAGCGCATCTTCAAGGTTCGGAAGCTTCTAATGTTGAACGCGGCATATCAACTTACTGATCATGCCGCCAACGACAGTCCAGTCTGCGCGGAATGCTAGGGGGTAGGGGTACGACAGCAGCGGCGGCGGTGGCGAAGGCGGCGCCGGCGGCGCCGTCGTGTTCGTCAGGGTAAAGCTGAAGATGTAGCCGGGTGCGGAGGGGTTGCACGGCATCGTGTAATCCACTTGCGCCGTCACATCAAAGACCTTGCTTGAAGAGGCAACTTGGTAGCCTTGATACACAGTAGCAACCGCCTTCATCGACGGTGTCTCAGTCTCAGACCAAGCGGCACATATATGGTAGGTAGTCAATGGCGGTGTCAGGCCAGTACGGAAATGTACGACCTCGTACATGCTAGTGTACATCTTGTTATCGCCGCCGTGCACAGCACCGCCGACGCCGTCCACGGTCGGCGCCACGGCAAAATTGTCGGGTGTCACTTGATAATCCTGCCCGCCCGAGTTCCAGGCCACCACGAGGTCCATGTCCGAGAGGTTAGGGACGCCAAAGTAGTCCCTACGTTCTGGGTCATTCGAGTAGTCGTAGTCGTAGTCGTTGGGATGGCCTGCAAGGCGCGGAAGGGATTATTGGGGAGAGCGAGATAACCTAAATTCTCGCCCAAACATTCCAGCGCGAGCTACCACTCTGCCGAAAATGCATCCATGCATAGAAATCCGACATAGGTCATCAAAAAAGCCCAGCACGCAGAGCGCTTGCTGCTTCTCTTGCGCACCTTCGATGGGATAGAAATCCAGACGGAAGGTGAGCGGATACGGATACCATGGCTTGTCCACAACCTGGTTAACTGGCGCAGGTGGTGACGGGCTGGGCGGAGGAGCGCTGATCGGCGGCGGTGACCGGACAATCGTGTTGCGTGCGATACGGAAGCCCTGTGCAACATCCTCATCGGAGCAAGCTTGCAGCAAGAGGATGGTGGCGGTGCCGGACAGGCCAGTCCTAAGGCAACGCCGTTCTTCAGGGAGCACCCCAAGGGCGTTCTGCGGCGTGACCATGAAGAGCCTGGGGAGTGGGGCAGCAGTGCACGGTAGCGTGTGGCCGTGTGGGGTGAAGGGTGTCTGGAGGGTTGGTTTGATTGGGGGCAAAAGGACAACGACATGCACAAGCAGAGGATGGGAGGACAACAGGGCGGTAGCCGTTCGTTATCGCCCAGACGCCCAGTCGCCAAACTCTTCTCCCTGGGAAACTCTTCTCCCTACGTTTTAATCAGAGTTGCAAATATGTTTGAAGATATGTCAACCGCCGGTAGACTCCGGTAGACTCCTGGGCTATGTTCGTCACACCTGGCTAGGGACGATTCGCTTAACATAATCATACCCATCGCAGCAGGTTCGCTTACCCGTCGTTTGTGAGTCTGTTGCGGAACAAGGCCCACTTTTGAGATGAGGATCCGGAGCAGTTCTGGAAGATGACCCTAGTACCGGATAAACTGGATGGAGCTGCCATGCATAGTCCAACTGAATCTCGCACAACGTAGTAGTAATACCCGGTCCGGACATCTGTGGGCGAGTGAAAGCAAAGACACGAACGCACAAACATACACATTCACACACACGGTGAAGGCAGGGTTTCACCGGGTAGCGGCCACGGGTAAAGATATGGCCCCCTGATATGCCCCACCTTGACGCACACAGAGATGTGTGTGCATAACAGGAACGCATGTCAGGTCCTCCTCGCATCCGCGAGGAAGGAGTGTTTGCATGTTGCGTGCAGGAAGGCTTACATGTATCAAGCCATGCATGCAGCAGCGGAAAAAGGGGAGAGCTCACGCGAAGAACCAAAACCGTAATAACTATGCATCCACGCGCGGCGACGCCTGCTTTCCCCACAGGTTGCAGCGGATGCTATGCACGCGGCATTTCCAAGTGTTTTTTTTTAATTTAATCACGACCAAACGCACAACTAAGCGCTGTTTCATGCCCGGTATACGAATTGTTTCTATGTCATTGGTTACGAGATAGGCAGGTCAAGAATTACGGGTTGAGGAAGCTCGGTTATTAGCTGTTAACTCGGTTATTAGCTGTTTACTGTCTTGGTGCAACGTTTGCCCCTCGTGTAGCACACCGTTTGCTGGCGGCGGCAGCAGGAACAGGTGCAATAGCAGGCCACTGATGAAAAGGGGCCTCGTAATAAGATGATGGTGAATCATTTTTTAGCGCGTAATCATAGACGATACGTGCGCCGTACTATCTACAGCTGCGACACCTGATCTGGCAACTCCCCAACTGACCTTGCTCCTCCGTGAACACCAAAGTTGAGGATGAGGTGTCATTGCAGAGCGCGGTGGAAAGCACGAGCGTGCCGTTCCGCAACGATCCAGCACACGGAAACGACGTCGTTGCCGAGCTTTGGACGAGCATTGGAGCTGGTAGGCCATCCTGTGATGGCAGGTACGACATGGAAGGCGGCCGCTGATGACATAGGCAAGGCCGTACGCGTGTAGGAAATAATGGAAAGCAGTAATGCGTTGCAGCAATTTACTTTGCAAAGTTGCAGTAAAACCCCAAAGTTGCAATAATTGCGTGGCTCAACGTTATTTCTTATTTAGGGGATGGATTTTTCATGCTTATCATGCATCAGGCATGGTTAAGTTGCGCCCTAGTCCTCCGACAGACGGCCTCACCGTTGACAAGCGGTTGGGTGCAACGTAGGATGGGTTGTACTGGGTCCGGAGCGTCCCGTTGAAGTGGCCCACCACAGCCACCGCCCAGCGCTGAGGCAGCTGGGCGTCGGGCGTCGTCAGCAGGCTGTGCCGGATGTTGCGTCCGTGCACCACAAAAGTGATGAGGTCGTTGGCCTTGAGCGTGGTCAGCTCGATGCGTTCGACAGTGTTCACGGAATCTGCGTTACGGAATTCGCAGCAAACGAGAAAAAGAGAATAAGAAAAATTATGAAAAGCGATTAATAAGGCGCTGTTTTAGTAACAGCTCCAAAGCGCAGAAAGAACTGTCCGGTCGCGATGGCTAAGGCCTCTTCCGGTTTCCACAAATTGAGATGGGAGAAGATTCTCACTTACCATTGCGAGTCACGGAGTAGGTTGTGATGGACGTGTTGCGCTGATTGATTTGGAATCCGAAATCCAAGTCGTTGTAGAGGTCTTTGGAAGCCGAACCCGAAGCGGGGTAGTCATACCAGACCAAGGTGGCAAACACCGGCCTGCAAGCGGACACGCAGGAAGTAGAATAATATTTTTTTACGAAAATATTGAGTTGGCAAGCTAGTGCCACAGATTCCTTTGCATGCTTGCGACGAGATCCATGGCTCCGAACCATGAATGGACATATATGACATTACTGAGCTCCGGCTCATGTCGCTTATTAGCTCGAATGCCGCGCGCGACCGCAACAGAACAGTCTGGGCCCCACCCGGCCCTGCCCTGCCCTTGGAGGGCACACAGCCGTTGGAGGCCATCCGCCGTTACTAAACATCATCGTGCTAAGCTTCTTCTTCCACGCACGCATTACCTACCCAGTGCCGGTAGCTTTGAGGCCTCGAAGGAAAACCATTTGGCCATTGGTAATCACGCCGTAGTCTGCAACTTGCACCTTGACGTTCGGATTCGTAAGGCCCGGGAGCGGGAGAGATCCGCTAAGGTCAAGCCGACCCCAACCCTGTTTTGAGAATGGGGACCGGGGTAAATGATGTAAAAGATGGCATGTGCGACGGAATGCTGCACCCATGCATGCAAGCAAGTAGCCACGCTGGATAATGGTGTCCGGCCTCTACGCGCTGGCGAGGGGACGTAAGTGACCGAGACATGGAAACGAATAATTCTGATCTTTGGGTACGGACTGATGAGTCCTTACCTGGAAACCATCAGGGGCGTTACCCAACACTCTCCCTCCAGACAATGCGTAGCCGCCCTGCAACGCAAGGCAGCGAATGCGAAGGCAGCAATACCAGTTGAGGCTATACCAGTTTGTCGCTGGCGGGTGCATTTTGTTGTCGACAGGTAGCTCGCATGTCATGTCATTTCTACCGCAATCCGCTTCCGTACAATAAAGAAATGTCTCCGATATATCCACATGCCAAGTTAATCGGCTTAAGGCAATTACCCCAGATATATCCACATGCCAAGCTATATTGTTTATGACAAAAGGAGCTAACACGCAAGCACACATTGTCACAAAATCGCATGTGACGAGAAAGGATGGGCTGGAGTGCGGTGCCACAAAACCCGTTGGGCCCCTCACCGCCAAGGAATCCGCGCCAGCAATGGCCAACGCCTGCGAGGAACGGGATGCAGATTGGCACACACAGACAGACAAAGGAGGTTAGCACATTTCGAGCGCAATAAAACGCGAGAGGTCCATAGCAAGAATTAAAACGACAAGTCCACAAGCCATGCAATTACCACAGGTTACTACCAGGGGCAGGCAGAAATAATTTTCTAGTCTAGCTGCTGCGTGCTTGGTGCCTAGCTGTTGGAACGTAGCAGGCTATAAGGCTGCAAGGCTACGAATCGTCAGCAGCCACACATACATTGGCAAGTGCACTGTTTTTCGCATGCTTACACCCGCTGTGTAAAATATTACGAAGTGGTGAGTGGAGATTAGTTGAGTCCATGACGCACGCTGCAGGCCTTGACGCGGGAAAGCGTGTCTGTCTCCCTTCTGGCTTTTACAGGACGTTCGTCTCCACACGCACCTTAATAAGCATGCCGGAGGGCTCGAAGCTCGCGGAAAGGACGTCATTCTTCACTCCACTCGGATAGAAGCCGTCCCTGTAATCGTACAGACGTGGGAACGTGTACGGCAGGGCGGAAGAGCATGCGCGCCAATTTAGATATTTCCCCGTGCTAAGCTTTAGGTGTAGTGTCTCAAATGCTCAACAAATTTCAAAAAACAAATAAAGCGAACGCGGCTGGTGCTTCAAGGTAAACAAGTAAGTAACATATTCAATGACCCGCCGTAAATATGCAATGGAAAAATGGTTGCCGGGCAAGGTTTGCCAGCCGTTGATCATGGATTAAATTCGGCAGCTGCTGAGACTGAACAACCAATATACACCAACGAGCAACCAACCAATTTGTACCCAGGCAGTGTGTGCCAAACAGTTCTTGGTAATAATAATAAAAACGGAACTCACCTGAAGTACTGGCGCATGAGGGCCAGGTGACCCGCAGTGAGGGGGGTTGCCATGGAGGTTCCCTGCAGGCGAGGATTCACGGCACAGCAACAGTAGAAACATCATGGGGGAACGACGACGCTTTAAGGCGGATGACCGACAAACACCGGGGTATAGTCATACACGCGAAACACAACAGTCGCATAATATAAGTGTTTTCTGCACATGTCTCACCTGGTATCGGATCGTGCTCTTGCTGCAGGTGCCGTCTGCGGGGCGGCATCAGCGATGGGGAAAGCAGTTTCAAAAAAAATCGTACTTATGAAGAGAAAATTTGGGAGGATCAAGCTGGCAATACCCTGGCAACATATAGCTCGGTGGAAATCCACCGACACACGATTTGCATTTAGGAGCTCTCTGCACGTACCCGTGACGTCTGCGTTGAGGCCGTCAATTGGGAAGTTACTAGAATCCGCAGACAAAATGCCCGGAGCTCCTCCGGGGGCAACCAAATCCGGCTTGAATCGGCCGTCCCGGGTGGGGCCGGCGCTTGAGAACGAGGCGATGCCGTCGATGCCCAAGTTGATGTTAGGCTGCGGTAGGGTAAAGCGAGTTACAAAAGTGAGGCAGGTACATACATACAGAGGCAGAGTCGCTCACTAGTGTTTCTACGTTAGAAGAACGCGACGTTGCTGTGCTGTTTCACACATGCACAACGGCGCAGAAACATGGTTGTTGGTGCTAAGGAAGGGTTGTACAAGCAAGAACAGGCCTATAAGAAGTTGCACACACACGCATACACACACGCATACACACACATGCACGCATACACACACACATGCACATGCACACGCCGTACTGCTGTATGTGCAACAAAAGTTATCATGCATGCCGGCATTTGCTATCCATATTCGCTATCCTCCACGCCGCAGCTCTGCTATGCATCATCCAGCATCCATCGCTTACATAGGTGAGGCAGATCATGGTCGGGTTTGTCAGCGTAACGTTGCCCCGTGCGTAGGTCCGGACTGCGATACCGGTTGCCTGCAAACAATGAACCACAACGTAGGACCGGTCGGTATGTGCACCGAAGAAGGTATGCGGGGCGAGGAAGGTATGTTGCGGAGCGGCACGTTTTTCTTCGCAGTCGGTTGCCGTGCGGGCCAGGTTGTCAGTTGCTGTTAACGGGGCCCATGTACGGCGGGCGATACATTACTGCGTTAGCAGCATTTAACCAGCCAGCCGGCAGGGCCAGCAGCAGCTTAGAGGCAGGCAGGCAGGCAGGCAGGCAGACAGACAGACAGACAGCTAATTACCAGCCAGCCCACTGCGGGGAGTAGGTACATATATGTATCATCGCATGCATGGTTCGCGGCACGGTCAATATGCCACATCGACACGGGGCTGCGAGGCTATATGGGCAGCCAGGGCTGATTACCGTGCACGTGCACCCAACATGTCACCCCACAGCAATCACGATTTTGAGGCTAGGGCTTGCTGTGTATCGGGCTACGTTAATATAACCGCAGACGCACCCGATTTGTGAAGCCGTAGACGAAAGGCAGAGGAATGTTCGGCGGGTTGACTATGGCAAACTCCTCGACAAAGGTGTTGTCTGATTCCAGCATGAAAATGACGCCAACGGCCCCCCGCGCCACGGCGTTGGTGGCTCGCTGAGCGAGGGTGCAGGTCGCACCGGGAGCACCAAGATCGATGAGGACGATGCTGCCAGTCGCGTTGATGGTAAGGCTCGTGCAGGCGTGCTCGGGGTTGGCCATGCGCACAGGCACTTCCTGCAGAGCGGAGGAAGCACGGAACGGCAAGATTTACGTTGGTGACGAGACGCTTTGCTGTGTGAAAAGCCATTCCGTGAGCTCAATCAAACCGGACAACGCAAACTGGTGGGCGAGCGTGTTTTCAGGAAGGACATGTCTGGCCACTAGCATGGCTTTTTCATTGGCTGAATACAGCGATGTTGAAATGAAAATTTACTATGGCGGCTTGGACAGAACTGAGTTCCGATCGTATCCAAGAATGTTCCCATCCAGCCCAGCCCAGCCCAACCCAACCCTACCCTGTTGTTCGCCACGGCCGTCCAGTTGGCCATGCTTGATCCTCGTCGTGGCCACAGCTGCATATGACAAGGATTCAGAGAACACGAAGAGGGTTGTGAACATCTACATATCGCAACTTCGTCCTCCTCCCGCACGAGGGGGAGCGCGGTGTAAAGCAATCCTAGCAAGTCCCCGGAGGCCCCCATCCACGAACAACAATAGCAGAACGAACGCGTATATTTACGGAAACTTATTTATTCCTGGAGGTACCGGGTTCACACGGCCAGGAAGGGGCACACCGCTTTGGTCTATCTGTCGTATTCACCGGCCATCGCGCGTCAAACGAATGATGACACGATGCTGCAGCACACAACTAATAACCGTGCGCCCGTGAGACAGACAGAGAAAAGGGGAGGGAGAGAGAAAGAGAGAAAAAAGACAAAAGAGATAAACGACGATACAAGCATAAAGATTTAACAGAAAGCGCTAGGAGGAGGCGAGCAAAGGAAACCAACATGTATGATATATGTCTGTGCATCTGATGATGGCTCCCGTCACGTAGCATCCGTGGGCTCGCTGCTAATCATTGATACGTGCACCTCATGCATGCGTGCACGGGTGCATGGGTGCAGGGTACCAAGTAAAAATAAAGCTGTTCAGTGAATTCTCAAAGGTGATGTTGCTGCTGCATGGCCCCCATTCAACACATCCACCAGAGCTCACCGCGAAGCCTTGTCGGGAGGTGGCAGTGTTGTTGTAGCGGAAGAGGAAAGCCCGGTTGACCGTGGGGTCAGTGGAGCCCTTGATGGTGGGCAGGGAGGCGCCGATTGTAAGGACGTTCTGCGGAAACACATAAGGGACAACCATCTATCAGCGGAATGCGTGGAATGCGGATGACATGTCATAATGGCATGTGCGCGTGTATGTATGTATGTATGTATGTATGTATGTATGTATGTATGTATGTATGTATGTATGTATGTATGTATGTATGTATGTATGTATGTATGTATGTATGTATGTATGTATGTATGTATGTATGTATGTATGTATGTATGTATGTATGTATGGTGCGGTGGTGTGGTGCGCGTGTGCGTGTGGGTCCGAGAGAGAGAGAGAAAAAAGAGAGAAAGTGTGTGTGTGTGTTGTGTGTGTGTGTGCACACATGTGTGTGTGGCCGTGATCGCGCCTTCGCATTTCCCAAACGTACCTTGGCCGTCCCAGGCGACGTGACAGTGCTCATCAGTCCATTAAAGCCTGTAGGGGAATATTTCATTTTGCAATAATAATCCGCATCGTGGGTTCTTAGCACCGTTCCTTGTAAGACACAATAGTCAGGCCGTCATCCCGTCGCTCGCCAGCGAGTCATCGCAGTCGGGGCAGGAGGAGCACGGCATGAGCCGTCATGTCCGACAGCGGGCATAAGCTCGACAATGGCAGGGCCAAGAGGGGCACGAAAACAGCCGCCCCTGTACCTCGCATCAAACCATGTCATCACGCATCATAAGAAGATTTCCCGGATCTGTCAAGACTATAAGGAAGAGCCAAGAAAGCGCACATACGGTGTGGTGTCAGTTATCTCCATATTAAGGCCCTTCAGCCCCTCAAATCCCATACGCAGAGCAAGGCAACGCACCGAAGTTGCCGGCGGCGACAACTGACAGGAAATCCGGGTTTCTCCAGGCGAAGGCGTCAAACTGACGAGCATACTCCATGTAAGCTGTCGCTAGGCCAAACGGCTGGCTCCAGCTCTCGGAACTGAGGCGAGCTCCCACAGCATAGTGGTACTAAATTGGGAGTGGGTGTGGGAGTGGGTGTGGGAGTGGGTGTGGGAGTGGGTGTGGGAGTGGGAGTGGGTGTGGGGTTGGGGATAAAGCATTCTGCAGTCCTGCAACGTGATATCAACCGTGCACGGGGCATATTGTTATAGCTGTGCCCGGGGCATTCCGCCATCGCAAAATGTCAAAGAACGTCTTTGTAGTGGCCTTTGTAACCTGTAATAGTTGGATAGTTGGCTCTTTCAGCGGGAGGTGCACGTACGGCAGCCCATTTCACTGACTCCATGTCCGCACACCCATCCGTACATTCACCAAGCCATCCACGCGCGCATACATGCAATACACGAGGTTCCCGCGCGAACGGAAGGGATATATACGTATCCAGTTATAATCCGGGATCCGTACAGTACGGTATCTCAGAATATCTCCTCTCACCGGAAGTACTTTGTCGTCCAGGGGAATTGGAATGTACAGCCCGCTCATATTAGCGTACGCAATATCAAACATGCTGATGCGGGCGAAGGGCGCGGAGCCGGTCGAAGCGTCGTTCACGAGCTGGCCGTTGCTGTCGAGGACAGAGCCCGCCACACTGCCACTGACGTGCGTGCCGTGCCCATCGTTTTCGTCGCCAAACCAGGCAACGGCTGCGACACAAACCAAAACATGCAATCATTCTTTTACACAAAGGATTGTCCACGTGTTACGAAATGTTTTTTCGCGTGCACATAGGATATATGCAGCTCGCCGCTGCGGAGTCAACAGGGGCATATGTCTATGTGTGAGGCACAACGTTGCGTCTGTGTGAAAAGCAAGAGAAATAGCGGTATTGCGAGGAGTGAGTATCGGGAATATCGGGATCCGGAGTTGCGTTATGATGGAATGAGATGAAACGCTTGAGGGGGAAATGCTTGCGGGGGCCTTGCGGAAATGCTTGCGGAAGAGTGGGGACTGGATGAGCGAGTGCTAACGAATAAAATAGGTTGTCGGATGTCATCTGCTCATTCAACAAGGGTGGAGGGGTTTGCACGAGCATCACAGCTGTCGCCGTTGCAGCCGTCCCAGTCGCATTTAGCAGAATAATTAACAGTATACCTAATAGAATAGCTAACAGAATAGCTAACAGAATAGCTAACAGAATACCTAACAGAATACCTAACAGAATACCTAACAGAATACCTAACAGGATACAACACGCTCATTAGGCCAAGCAGGAAGAACGAAGACTCACATGAGCCCTCCGGGAGGACGTACTGCACGACCTTTCGGTGGTTCGGCAGGTACAGGCGAAGTGGGTTGCCCACGAACATGGAACGAAGGCTGCCTGGGCGGTACTTGTTGTCGATAAAGGAGCAGTGGGACATGTCCACACCAGTATCACCCACCTACACATGCAGTACCGAATCCGTACATGGGGCGCTGCGCTCAAGATCGGCACACAGAAACCATCGCCATCATCGCCATCATCGCCATCGCCATCGTTACTGGCACCAACAGCATTAATGCAATAATAATGCCAGCAAGGACAACAACAACAACAATAGCACCACCACCAACAACAACAACAGCAACAACAGCAGCAGCAGCATCGAAGGCAGTAGCAACAATTTTGGTTCCGCTTCGCTACGGTTTGGCAGTAGTTTGGCAGTAGTTTGGCAGTGGAGGAAAGGAGCTGTCTAAAACTGCAAAGTCAAGATCAGAACCCGCTGATTCCCTTCCCTCACAATTTCCGCCTTTTCAAGAACCGCAAAGCGGGTGGACTCACTTACCCCAACAATAACTCCCTCGCCGCGGAGGGTGGCGTTCCAGTAAGGTCGTAGGGCCGCCGTCGGGTTCGTGTACTGCGTTGCCGTTAGGTTGCCTACGGGAGTGTGTTTTGCGCACAAGATGTAAGAAGCTTCTTATCTAGCATTATCTATGAGAACCACGGTGCAGGTCGTGCAGGCCAATGTCTATCCAGAATCGCCACAAAATATTATTTTATTATAATATTATAACCATTAAATCATTTTTGATTTTGTCTTTGCCTTACAGAGGGTTACATAAGCCCCTCCAGACGGCTCGGACTTTCAGGCCACGGATTACGCAGATCTGTGTGAGAGATCTCGCCGAGGTGGCTGCTGTTGTGCTGCCTCTTCCCTTTTTTTGAACTCAACGCGTTGTGGGTATGGTGCCGCGCTAATAAGATAAGATAAAAGTTCAAGGCAAGGCTCGTCACAACTGCGTGCGTGTATGCGCGTATGTATGCGCGTATGTGTGTGTGTGTGGAGGGGGACATTATGTCATTATCAAAGGCATCCATAGCTTCGGCATGTGTTTTCTCTTCTGCACATGCTTTTCTGTATGTATGTATGTATCAACGTCACCTGCTTGGCTTCGCCGTGTTCCGTTGCTTGGGAGTATGTTTTGAATTTGAAGCAAATGCTTGTAGGGAAGGGAGATGTGTGATGATGGCTGACCGGTCCTTTGCTCGAGTGCAGGTTTATTTTGCAATTGGGTTTTTTATGTAAGAATGGTATTAAATAATATTTGCGCGATGGTGGGTGCTATGTAAGTAAATTACCGTACATACCTGTTTGTAAGATCCATCCTGCGATTGCGTTTGTCGATTCAGCTCGGAGCAGAGGCTCAACCCAAGTCACCAGGGGTTCCCGCTTCAGCCAGTCAATGGTCCGGTTGAAATCCTGGAAAATAAACACAAAGCACATCCATAGGGCTCATCAGTCTGTAAGAGTATGCACGGTAGCACACACACATGGACAAACACAACCCACAATAGTTGATGCCATCCGTTCTGGCACGCGTTGTGTCTCTTTTCATCAAGTATTCAAGCATACACATGTGCCCGAGATATCTCGCGATTCCCTGCGCTGACATTATTAATGCCGCACCGCGTGGGCAAATGGCATGCCGTACGCCGTACGTCCGTTACATCTACGTTACTGAAATTCCCATGAGCGATATTCGGCTCAATAGGTGGTATACTATACTATACTATACTATAATACAAATAATATAAAAATATAAAAATACAAAAAATATTAATAATGTAATTAACGTAAATCACGTAATATTATATAATGATATAATATAATAGGTGATATACAACCCGCACCGCCCATCTTTCAACCCACACCCCAACCCCAGCGCCCCACCTGGAAGCAGACGAAGACGAGGATACTCGTGGAAAGGGAGTTGGCCTGGCCCGAGTCTACAAGACGTGGTGCGCATGGGTCGTTCGCGGACAGTCCGAAAAGGTCCAACATTCGATAGCGCCAATTCGACACTTGGACTGTCAAGGGGTCCCGTACAAGCCCCGAAACCAGGCGCGCGACCAATCCGTACAGAGTGGCGTTTGCCTTCAGCTGAGGCCGTGGCGGCGGCGGGGCCGTGCGGCTGTTATCACCGGTCTTTGCTCCGGGACCATTTCGTCCAATGTCGTACATATCCCACGTCATCAGGCCACTGAGTGCACTCGGCGTCCCCGGGACGCCGTTGCCGCGCAGGAGGTCGCTGAGGAGGTTTTCATCCCCTTCTTGGAGCCTTCGCCGCCCGCCCCCGGCCGCTGGGGCGGCTGGCGCCGCTGAGCTGATAACAACCAGTGTCTCCGGGGAGATCTTGTAATCGCCCCGGTACTCACCCTGAAGTGGGAAAGTTATGTACGGCAGCAATTCATACGGTGTACGGCATATGGGGGTAAAGTCGTGCACGGCAATTGCAAGCCGTACATCAGTACCGCAAGTGTGAGAAAGCCAGATGTTCCTTAGTCACACCCCTTAGGATCCCTCAAACAAAGCAACTATGACTCGGAATGGAGTGGAGTGGGGGTGGAGTGGAGTGGAGTGGAGTGGAGTGGAGTGGAGTGGGGTGGGGTGGGGTTGGAGTGGAGTGTAGTGCAAACCTCATAATAGGGAAAGAGGAGAAGGGAAGGGAGAAAGATGAGCGAATAGGAACGAGATGACGGCGCAAAAAAAGTAGAAACACATACAATCGTGGTGTATTTCCGTACTCACCACAAGCGCGTTGTACGACGAGGCTGCTTTAACGATAGCTCCAGGAAGGCCGAACACAAGAAGCGTGTTAGTGGCAACCACTTCCAGCACGCTCACGCTCTGCTTTACCAGCTCATTACGCAGCGGCCACAGGGTGTCATCTGTAAAACAAAAAGGACGGCATGCGCAAGCAAAATCTCCTTGCGCTCTACAAACACGTTGAATGGTGAACGGAGCGAACGGCGAGCGAACGAGGCAATTAGGCAGTATACACGGCAAGGCACTACGACATCCCAGGATCGAGACCCACTACCGACATCCCCGCTGAGCTGCGCTGTACCTGGAGCAGGCTGCGCTGTACCTGCCGTGGCACATCCCCACGCCTAGTATAGGTGGACACTAAGGGAAGGTGGACACTACGCGACGCACAATGCGGGGAAGCGGGGGTAAGTGCAGGGTAAGCAGCAAGCCTACCCCTGCAGGGACAATGTACTCCTGCTCCTTGTAATATACTATTAGATTATGCAGTGAAGAAGCAGAACAGTGGTAGGTGACATGGTAGGATAACATGCAGCAAAAAGAGAGACCCCGAGGGCTGCTACAGCCTCTGGGACGGAACCCTTGTCCCCATGCCGAGAGCGGACTGAAGTTGCCAGTAGGGGTCCGCACTATGCATCATACGGACCTGGGAACGCATCCCCACCTACTGGGGGGCTTCAGGGGGGGTTCAATTTCCCACTCACCAGTACGACTCTGCACCAAGTACTGGTTCCGTGCATTCAAGTCGAACCCGATGGGAACGCCCTTGTCGCCGCCTGGTGGAAGGCCACCTGTGAGATCGATTTCCGAAGGCAGCCTGTACGGATCGACATGTTACGTGATCAGGGGGCGCGCGGATAGCGAGTTGAGTTTGCACTGGCAAGGTTTGGGAATGAAGCCGAAAAAGAAGAGGGGGAAAGCGCTACATATTGGGGCATTGGGCCCATCTCCTGTTACACGGGGTGGCTGGGCAGGGGCTCCGATAGGCATCGAGAAGGGGGCCCCCATAACCTCCGCTTTGGATTTCAAGCAAGATTACGTTAGATACTGGTAGTCGGTACCAATATACAGCAGTCGGTTGCTCCTATTGACCCGACAGACAACGGCGTCACCGGCGTAATAGTACCGGCGAAAGGAATGCATGGCCACACCATACAACATCTCTGGCTGTCTGTCCCGTCCGTCTGTCTGCCTGTCTGTCTGTCCGTCTTTTATCTAGTCCAGTCTGCTTCGATATCTGTCTGCCTATCTGTCTGCCAATCTGTCTGTCCGTTTGTCTATCTATCTCTTTGAGTGTCTTCCTCAATATCTGTACATGATTCCCCATGATTGTGTCCCCATGTTTGTCTGGGTATATGTCTGTCTGTCTATCCGCATGCATGTGCATGTCTTTCAGCCTGTCTGTTTGCCTCGGTCTGATTAACGTCTTCGTGGAACATCTTCCTCTGTACCTATTTGGGCATCCCCTGGCCTACAAAGCTGAAGGATGTGGGCATTACCGGCGATCCCATCCTATTATACGCTGTAACCCCACTCATAATTTCTTGGAACGAGTGCCAACGTGCCGGCCGGTGACGCAGGTACGCTTATGCCAGATTCCATCCCGCGGACACGCAGTTTCCAACTAGTATGCAGGCGCTAGGAAAGGGTGTTGCGTGAGACTGCCTGCCGTCGACGCTGCAGCTTAGCTCATCCTCGGGCACCTTTGGGCCCAATGCTTAAGACAAGCCAAACACCAAACTTAGTTGTAATTTTTGACGCGCGTGTGTGAATACGGAATCACTACATCTAGAATTCTAGAGCTGCTACGGCCGCGGGAACAACACAACGATAAGGGAACTGGGCAGAACAAGGGCTATGCCACGCCCATGTCAACGGAATTGAAGGCGCGAGGAGCAGAAAGGCATGAGGCGGATCATGAGTCGCACACACGCATGTGCGGCGTTGCCATGCGTTGTCCCGCTACTTGATGCCTTTTGCTTGCTGCAGCCCCTTACGAGCACGCGGGCACTGGGAACTAAAGTAAGACGACAGGAAATTGATATCAAAGGATTTCCCCAAGGCAGCAGTGCTCCCGGTAACAAGCTGTAAACTTTGAGCTGGCTTGTGCCGCGGAGTGCAACTTTGCACACCTTGACGGTCGAACAAATGGGTGCATAAAGCCAGCATGGACACCACAAAGCAAAACCTTACCCTATATGTGCCACAGTAACAGCAGCAAGAGATGCTCATGTCCAGGTGGGCGGATATAATCATCAGAATTGACGACATAGCCAACCCGTGTGAGCGATTATAAATGTTTTACTCAATGCAATAACTAGGGACTAAGTTGTTCTTCTTGTTCTGCAAAGTCCAATGGTACGTTGCCATGAACACTTCGCACAACCCCACAGCCCAGAGGGACATCACATAAGACTTTTATGGAAAAGAGTAACATATCAGCCAAGCTGGCTTTACGTTTGCTTTGCACTGTCCTTGTTTCCCGAACTGTAATACGGTACTCACTTGAGCTCAAGGATCCCGCTTCGTAACTCCACAGTTGGTATATCTTGCGCATGGACGACCAAAACAGCTGTGAGGAATAGAGCTGTTGCCAATCTGACCGATGAGGACCACGATTGAAGGTCGCAACTGCGACCCGCCGAGCAGGCCCCCATGGCCACGAAGCTGTCAACGACTCTACCCTAATGACTGATTTCCTGCCTCAAATGGGAAGCCAAGCAGTAAGTTCACCTCTGGTTGCCGCTCATAAGCTTACACATTAGGCCTTGCGAGTAATTTAACACGCTTCGATCTTACTCAACAGGCTCTATGTGTTAATAGCAAGGTATGTGATAAAATGATTGTCTGTGTAATGCTCTACAGCAGCGCGTCGTACAGCTGCCGACTCCACGGTATCTGTTTCTTCTGTGCACATTAATTTGCACCTAGTCTACCATGGCTGAAATTACGGGAGATGATCAACAATTCATTTTGCATCTTTAATAACTTGCTCTTCAAGGGCGGCCGGAATCGCTGTGGCAGGTACTGAGCTACTCCTCAGCTACTACCCGCGCACCCTCGACCATAAATGTGGAACAGCTCTAGTTACCTCTCATTTGAAAATATCTCCTAGCATTTTAGGCGAGCAAACGCAGCGGCGCGGAACAGAATGAGGTAGTGCTACGTCCCGAGGAGCTGAAAGGCCTATGTCGCGGCGCGGTAACTCGTTGTGGGTTAGTTACCTACCTGCTACCTACCTCGCCCACCAACCGACATGCTCCCTACGCCCACCATCCCAACCACTTAATCCACCCAGAAACGACAGCACCGCTAACATAGACCCCAGCTCGATAGTAGCAAGCCCCTGAGGGAACGAAACTAGATGCGGCTTGGCTCGAGCATCGCAGGATCGCGTATGACACCTGGATCGCTTGTAGGACACATGAACCCACCATCACAAAATCATATGTGCGGTACTCAACTGTTGCCTAGATGCTTGCAATCTGGGTCCATAGTTGTCACAGCTGGCGCACCCGTGTTTTGCGCAACTCCGCCATCGCATAACCCGGACAAGAACGTTCCTGCGTAACCCCTCCAAAATTTAACAGATGCATCTTAACATTCAACAGACCTTCTGAAAGATGGGCCAAAATGGGCAGCTAGCTCAGCAAGCTGATGGGATCGCAACTAGCTGGGCCTGTAGACCGTTTGCAGCGAAGTACAGCATAAGCCGTCGCGGCGCTACATACGGAGCCGCACAAATCGAACATATTAACAACAATGCCGCTACATTATGCATTATTTATACATGCTCAAATAACACGTTAGTTCTTTGCAGCCTTAAAGGCGACTTTTGTGACCTCTCCACGCCCGCCTACTGCCGCCCGCCCATTGCTCATATGCGAGCACCGAAGCGACCAGACTTTCATATGTTAATAAATGAATATATCATCTCCAATACTTATAATCAAGACATAATACATAAGAAATCAGTCGTGACCGACTGACTTCCATAAGAAGATTGTGAACAGCCATATGTTGGCAAGTTGCATACTTTTTCACGGCGCGAGACAAATAACGTATTCTCAATCGCGGGCTTTGTAGTCATTACGAAATTGCGTTCACCATTGCGGGCGGTCGTGGTTAGGCAAGAAACCGGCGGGTTTGTTGATGTCATCTCCGGCACAGCTGAATCATTATTTGATTAATGCACCGCATGGATCGGCGTTCATCAGAAACGGGTAGTTTGTAAATGGATCATTCAGCAAAGTGATACAGGCCGTACGATTTGCTATGAGGGCTATCACATTGCTTCCGCATGGCGGTGCATGCCGTTTATGCTATCGCTGCGTTTACTGCAGCTAGATGCAGCTGCAGGTGCTACAGCTGCTGCTGCTGCCGTTAAAACATCCGCGCGGGAACTACAGATACGTCATTATTAGCACGTCATTAACGTGCGGAGAAGCGATCTCCCACGAAAAGGAGTCTCGGCGGCACAGAAGAACAGCGAGTGCCAGCGAGGGCGTTACCAGCATATACATTCGCGGGGGCTACTTCTGCCCCGCGCATTCAGCAAAGGGTCCGTCGTACCAACGGGCACACGTTCGCCAACCGAATAAACTGCCGTACAAACTAAACACGTGTGTCTGCGATGCGAAAGGCGACAGCGCGCTACCTGCACTTTCGCTGCACGCCGTCACGTCAGTTTTCAGTTGACATCACAATGATGGGCAGGGGGGACGTTCCCTAGGGCCATATATAAATCACGTACTCACTCGCGCCATGTTCTTGTTCGTTGGGCCCCTTGAACCTTTCTCTTACACCGAGTTTTGCTTGCACTATAAGTTGGCGCTTCTCCTGTTGAATTTTTCATTTGCTTACGTATTTTTTTTTATTCTCCTCCTCCTCCTCCTCCTCCGCGTTGCGGCGTAACTTAATGCCGCGATGGGAATTTTGGATATAAATGAGATAGATAAGAAGCAGGACAAGCAGCTGCAGAAAATTGCCGTCCACAATTGCGTTGCTACATCATATCTCGGCACACGTGTTGCGCCTCTCTCTCTCTCTCTCTCTCTCTCTCTCTCTCTCTCTCTCTCTCTCAACAAACGAACGATACCCTACCCGATGTGTTGCGACGCTAAAAAAACGTCTATAGGCTAGACGTACCGACGGCAACGGCAACAAGCACGGCTGCAATGTAAGACATACTTTTCAAGTGCGTGCATATGTGTGTCTGTGTGTGTGTGTGTGCTTGTGGTTGTTACAGTGGGCTCCAGACTTACGAAGAGTATGTATGAGAGATATGCATCATTTATCCAGCAATACGCTTCCCGCCATTCACCAAGGCCGTCGCCGCAAAGCTCGCCGTAAAAAATGACGCAACCGGAACAGCGCACACGGTTATACGTCTGTACGACAATTAAACGCACAACACATTGAGGCGATCCATCGACGCATATATGCGCTGCGGCGGTGATGGCAGAGGCGGCAAAGGCGGCGGAGGCGCTGTCTGTGCGCCCCCAGCTCGGCCTCCCGAAGCAACAAGCTGCACATCAGCGCCCTGCGGTATCGCACACACGTCATACACGTACAGCTGGTACAGCCCAGGATGTACGAACGACAACGCCAGCGGGTGCCGTACCGTACTACGGGGCCCAACGGTCACAAGGACATTATGTACCGCACCAACCAGGACGACACCCGGGTCGATACCCGGCTCCGGCACGTGTACGGCGGCAGCTGCGTCGGCGGCAGCGCCGCCGCCGTACAACTCGCCAGCGCTGGCGTTGGCGGTACCTCTACCGTAGGACGCCACGATCGGGTTGCCGGTTGCTCCCAGAACGAAGTTGGGCCCGGTAGTGTAACCGTCGCTCGTACAGGGTTGGCGATTCTGCTGGTTCTGTCGTACACCGTGCATGCCTTGGAAGGAAGCCGCGTGAACGTGCGCCAGCGAGCTTTCCTTCGTCGGCTGTACGACACCTGCAGCATATCCCCCTGAAGACGGCGCCTGAAGACCTTGAGCTTGGTATCGAAATGGTTGGTGCTGCTGTTGTGGATACGGTTGAAGCTGTTGGTGCGGTTGGTACGGATAATACCCCCAACCACTTTGGCATGACGAACCTGCGGCGAAGAAGTCTGACGGCGGCGGCGGCGGCGCCGCCGCCACCGCCACCACCACCGTGGCGGAGGCGGCCGCGTTCGGTGACGCCGCCAAGGAGAAGGTGACATGGTGTGTGTGACTGCCGTGGTTGTGGACGAGCAGCTCCAATCGGAATATCTCACCTGCGTACGACACGTGCCAAGTTGTAGCAAATGGTTTACGTGTCCAAAGGAACAAGGGGAGGGAAGTGGGAGATGCAGCACCGTACGACACTCCGGGAGGAGGGCGAGCGCCCCCGACGCAGCCGGTGGAAGTAACTCATAACAAAAGTGTGTGTTTGTGTGTATGTGTGTATGTGTGTCGTGTGTGGAGATCATCAGATTTGAGGGTCAGGATAAGACAACTGCTGTCGTACAAAGCCGCAAAAACTAAAAGCGGCGGCTGTAGCTGCATCTCAACTTGATGAACCTCTTGGTTCGTTAAGGCGGAGCGCTAATTGTTTGTGCAAGCAGCGGCGGCTGTAATACACACATACACACACATACATACATACACATCACAGCTTACAGGCCACCACTGACCCACGGGTCGAAGGACCAAGGGGAAACTTACCCAGCTGCGCCCGAAGGCCCCACACCGAACCGGCCACATTGTAAGGCAACAGCCCCAAAGCCTGCAGTACAGATAAGACATAAAATAGGGCCAGGAAAATGCTCATATAGGGCCACCCTCCTAGAACAATCCAAATCATACATCCCGCTTGTATCGCGGGCATGGGGCTGTATGATGGGGCTGTATCCCACAGGGGGGGCTACATCCGACGAAGCTGCAACCACGGAACGCAACAAGCGGCTAGGAAAGGAAACAACGTAGTGAGGCGCGGGGGGACATCAAATCTAAGGCAAGCGACAAGCTTTTCATCGGTGTGGAGACTGCGCTGACAGATGCCACCGCAAAGCGGATGAATGCAATTGGAAGCCATTGACCAACACCAATTACTCTCAGTTCTTGACCCCGGTAATCACAAGCTCTCGCCAGCCCGTTGACCCCGGTATGATTCCCGCACGCGGCCAATGAAAGATGCTTCCACAAATGCAAAATTAAGGATAAACCAACCGGCGGCCTTCAGTTAGGTACGGAACGTTTCTGTATGTATGATTTTTGTATGTATGTCGTGTGGTTGGGTGTATTGTGCTC